CGGTTTTGAACAGTTTGTTTTACCACTATAGTCTACTGGGGAAAATGAGTATTGTAAAACCGGCCACTCAAAGATTTGTTACTTTTTTTGAAGCACTTCATGATCAATTTGAAGGTATACCCAATTTGAAGCGCAATGTTTTTAGGGATTCAATATTACACCATACCACAGACACTGATAACACGTAGGGCCATGCATCTCAGATTTGTATAACTTGAACATTGTTAAACAATGCTTTTAAAGTAGATGAATATGTTGACTGGCAATCAACATTTTGTGAAAGTACATTTTAGTAAAATTTTAGATTTCATAAAAATGTCTGAATGGTCATTTATTTTTTTATTTTTTTTTATTTTTTATTTTTTATTTTTTATTTTTTATTTTATTTTTTTAATTTTTTTTAATTTTTTTTTTTATTTTTATTTTTTTTGTTTTTTTGGGGGGAGTCAAAATTGAAAAACTCTGTGTGGAAATGTTATTCAATAATGCTTGGAGTTGCCCTGAAATCAAACTATAAATGAAAATAGCATCGGGAAACTGACACTTACCATCTATGTCTTGTGCGTATATATCCTGGCATGTACATTCGATGATGACGAAGAAAAAGACGCTAACAACGAGAAAACTCTTCACGCCCATTTTCACCAGCACAAGTTTCCTGTGACAGAGTATATCCTTCCAAGAGGATATGTTCTAAAGGAGATTCTTAACTGATGGCTCTTTTATATATAGCGAATTTTCGTCAATTGCAAATATAAGGAATTTTGTTTTTTTTTTTCAATAGTCATGTTTAAATGTTTCTTTCTAAAAGTGTACAAGGACTGACAATCCATCACTTTTAAACCTGCTTGGATAACGTTTTGATAGACACCTGCAAATTAATAGCTACCGCAGACGATGTTGGATTCTGGCTACCGTAGAGGTTTACTCTAAGATATATGCTCAATTAATATCTAATGCTTTTGACAGGTGATGAATTGAAGCTCCTTGGATCGACAGATGGAGCACTAAAACGATTGAAGACCAAATTGAAACCGAAGCTTCGCTTTAATCACGTGGTTGATCACATGATTAAAAAGGGGAAATGTGAGGGTGACTCATTTTTTCAGAAGACCGCAGGGTAATCAAAAGTGAAAACAATGGGCGAACATACGTCTTTGGTTGAATGAAAATTCTTGGACATTCATTTCAACTTCTGCTTTCTGTTTGTTTTATATATATTTGTGCAAATGCGAAAAAAGGGGCAGTTCAGGTATCAAAAGATAATTATCGTTGACAGCTGATCACACCAACAATCCCTGTAAGGAAAACCTCGAATAGGCCAATCAAAATGAGTTATCTGCTGTTGAAGTATCTATTTGTTGAATGTGATCTGCTCCTTATAATATTATAAGGCTCTAATGTCCTTTGGCAAGACATTGATCTTCATTTGGCACACTCTACCCATGTGAAGTAAATGGGGACCGGTAGGAAGTAATTCCTTGAATGCCGTGAGCACCGACATCGGTAGCCTAGCAGAGCCGGAGTAATATTGGAGCGCTTTGAGCACCCTGCAGGGTGGATATGTGCGCTATATAAATACCCAATATTATTATTATTATTATATTATTGTGTGAATAGAATGTGAACTTCAAAGGAATTTACAAAAATACTAATCTGAAGTATAACATCTCTACGAATTTAATGATCTTACAATATTTTTGTGTCGTCTATTTGTTTGTACAAATTGTATTTGTTTGTTTATTACCATGACACATCTCATGATCTGATAACGACAAAATGAAAACGACTAGACAAAATAAACACGAATAACATACCAAATATGGATTTTATTCGCAACTGATAAAGATTCAATTATATATACAAGTTATATACACCGAGTACATTCATATTTACATATCACGGTTATGATAATAATAATTGTAGTAATAATAATAATATTAATTAAAATGATACTACTATTTCTACTTCTAGTAGGCCTTATACTACTAATGCTACTATTGCTACTACTATTACTACTACTACTACTACTACTACTACTACTACTACTACTACTACTACTACTACTACTACTACTACTTCAACTACTACTACTGTTACTACTACTACTATTACTACTACTACGTCTACTACTATTGCTACTACTACTACTACTGCTACTACTACTACTGCTACTACTACTACTACTGTTACTACTACTACTACTACGTCTACTACTACTACTACTACTACTACTACTACTACTACTACTACTACTACTACTGCTATTACTACTACTACTACTACTACTACTACTACTACTACTGCTATTACTACTACTACTACTACTACTACTACTACTACTACTACTACTACTGTTACTGCTACTACTACTGCTATTACTACTACTACTACTACTACTACTACTACTACTGTAGTAGTAGTAGTAGTAGTAGTAGTAGTAGTATATATTATACTACTACGAAGTACTATAATTCTTACAAAGCGTTGTATCAGTTAACCGACCGAAGCGCTTACAATATTAATATAACCCCGTTCATTGACGAATTAAATACTCTCAAAACAAATACAATTATATACCCATTCAATATCATTATTACTAATTGTATGAAACCTAGTATCTTAGTTTTGAACATTACATCCTAATGTTTGTGTATTATCGACTTTATCGTGCACATTTAACGCGCAGATTACCCGAATGCTGCACGCTTACAGCCATTGATTAGCCTGTGCTTATTCCGACACGTATTAGAATTTGAAATAGAAATTGAAATTGATATGAAAATGTTATTGATTGGATATAAGATAGATAACAGAAAATTTACTTTACTTATTTTTTTGATAAATTATGCTCAACTGGTTATACCAATACTATGTAAAGCGGAACTTTGGGGAAGTACCAACTAATCCAAAGAGGTTAATAAATAATGTTATTTCATCATTAAAATGTTATTTGAAATACAAAGAAAATATAAGATACTTCGATAATGAAGATGTTAAGAAAGTATTAGAAATGTTAAAATGATCATATTAATAAATTATGTTAATCTTGTATATATTCACTTTTTTTACGCGTTCTTGCACTCTGGGCGATCCATGAGATATTGACATTTTACTGCAAAGTCATCCGGGGACTTACGTTCAGAGCACAAAATGTGCAGATTTAGTTTTTGGCTCAAAACCCTTCATACAAATAATAATCTATAGTATTTCATAAAGCATACAGTTTATCGCAAATAAAACTATACCAAACTCTGTAGGAATAAAAATGAACAATCACACTCAGTGGGACATTTGTATGTATAGGGAATTAATCTTTGTGTTGGTTTTTTAATTAATTTACTGTTAAAAGTATAGACCAGTTCTGGTCATGCGATTGCATTGTGAAAGGAATCGACTAGAAAAGGTTGATCATCTAGTATATAAGTATTGGTGTGTACTGCAAGGTTCTGGAATCATCAAAGAAATTTGGCCCAGTCTTGGTAAAGTTACAAGCATGGGTTCAAGCTTGGTGGTTTCCAATACGGTCTCCAATTCCCTACACCTATACCCTAATACCATGGCAAAATTAAGCAGGCCTATCATATTATATGATATCAAATCATTTTAATTTGCCTACAAGAAATATTTTGATCAGATTAAACAATTTGTATTATACAAAAATATGTTTTTAAATTTAAAAAAATGGGCATGTTAAACATGATCGCAGAAACTATAGACCTACTGAACAAAATATCAAGCTAAAAATATTTTTCACCGTTGCCCATAAAGTTGAAATAATCTTTTCTTACCTCTTTTCATGAAATGATTGTGAAAAAGGTGTTTATCTTTCATTAATAGTTTCTCAAACTTTATTGATCAATCTCTATGACTCTTGAAATTGATCAATACAGTTTCAAGAACACACTGAACTTTTTAATCAAATATGAAACAAATTGTCACAAAATTTAATTAAAAAGATATTCAAGAATAATTATTCAAACGTTATGGGCAATGGTATACAAACTGCGGATATAATCCAAATGTAATTTCTAGATTATGAGATATAAAGTGGGGTATACTGAAATGACCCTTGATTTGATTTCTCGAAGGTCTTGCTATCGTGTTGTTATTCAGATTAAGAAAGACACGTGTTACGCAAAAATATTAGAGTTGTCGGTATTATTCCAAATAGATTTTAAACAACTTGTTTGTAATGACTGGCTGAGATATTTGGGTGATTCGTATGGGAATTTATGCATACTTCAGAATCATGATTTTAATGCAGTGTTTGAAAAGCAATCGTTTTGAATATATACATATTAAAGGATTTAAACAATGATGATGATTCTAAAAAAGATGTTTCGCAAGCACTGAGAATGATGAGTCATGAGAAATTTCGTGTTTTTTTTTCTTTATCGACTTCTCGATCTTCAGATGACAATGGGGATGTGTGAGGAACGTGACGTCAATGACGAGGCACGTTAGTAAGCTAAATATAGTCATTTGTTCAGAAGAAAAGGAGAAGGCGAGGGGATTTTTGCGAGATGATTGCGAAAGCCTTGACAAAATAATGCTCTTTGTATACAGCCTAGATAATTTCAACCGGGCCAGTGTCGTACTAGCTCCCAATGTTTATGTTGCCTTAAAGGGTCTATGAGGTTGGTGTAAGGTGGGCGTGGTCAGGATAACTCAATATTCATTAGGGGGGCCTATGATTGCAAGTATGCAATTATGATTGGCTACAAGTCTAGGAAAAGTCGTGAAAATGTCAGCCACCATTCTATTTGTATAATAGCAATGAATTTTGGTCATTTCTTATTGTACTGTTTACTCCTCGTTACTAGGGCGCTTTAGTAACGAGACGGAAGGCAAAGAGGACGGGAGAATTCACTCAACCGAGATCAAATAATGTATGCAGTTCGGATTCTGTCTATTGAAATACTATTATTCTTATCAGGTGAATGAAATAATTTGTATTGAGGAACTTCACAAAGACTTATGCATTAAATTTGGTCCAGGGCGCCACTTGGTAAGGTTTTTGTCCTACCAATATTCCACGAATGAGGTCATCCTGAAGTTATATAAGTAGCCTAACCACGCCTTATTTCTTAATACCAATCGTCAGCTAATTTTTTTTATTTATTTTTATTCAAGACCGATTCTTCGGCAGACAGGTGGGAGAAGACTGTTTCTTCGTAAACGTTTGTTGATGAGACTGTTTGAAATGCCAAAGTAACATCAATAAAACACCGATTTCAGCCTGTTTCATGGACATGTAAATTCGAGATCTGGAGTTAAAAACACCTGTAAGTATTTACTTCTTTGAACAAAGTTCTCAAGGTTACTGGTTCCAACTAATTTTGTACTTAACACTAGTGTGGTGATAATCCAAAACCAGAACATTGAATTTCCTCTGTTCCAGACCGTTGCTTGAATGATTTCGCGGTGAACCTCATGCACAGGCTCTGTTGTTTAGAACCAGTAACCTGGACAACGAGCGAATAATGACATTAGCGCTTCGGTACTCCATATAATCTAGGTTATTTTAGTTTAGTATTTTTAGTTTAGGGTAGTTGTTTATGATCATTGGGGTGAGTCATTTAGGGGCACTTCCGTGGAAAGGGAGGGGTTCGGAAATAAAAGGAAGATGACAGTCAGGCGAGTAATAGCGAAAGGAGCGTGTGTAGCGAGTCCTATCACCTTATTTTGACATTGGTTTTTTCCTCCTTTTCCCTCGTTTCTTTGGTATTTTCTCTCCTTCTTCTCGTCATTCGATCGGGGGGGGGGGCACGCTCCCACGTATCCCCTGTAGGCCTATCTACGCCATTACTTAAAGACTAATGAATGGTTAGGACATTCAGGATAAGGAACGCTGAACGTGTAATTCTACAATGAACATTGTGCTGAAAATTCTTTTTTACAAACAAATTATACGTGTTTTAACGTAATAACGCATTTTACCAGAAAATTTGCCAAATAATATGCCAAATATAATATATGCCTTCTTGATTTTCATGAACAGTACTTTAGTTTTCAATGATTACAAAAAAAAACATTTTTACTGTATTTAATCATTGAAATGCTATTTCTTTTAACTTAAAAAAGCTGGGGTTTGTTTTACGAGGATTACCGAATATCGTTAAATAAATTATTTAAAATGCGTTCATAATTTAACCTGCGCGTTATATTAATAATGTATAATTTTAGTCTTACAGATTTGTGTATTTAACATTTGTAAATAATATGTGCACTACCAAATATGATATGTCGCAGCAAGAATGTCCTTGACCAGACATTAGTCTACATTGGCAACGCTCAACCAAATCATACAAGTGCGGTAAATAGGTATACCTGGCAGGAATTAATTCCTTGAAATACTTGAAGAACTGCTATGGCAACCGTGCTAAAAGTCGAGGTAATGATAATGGCGCGCCAGAAGTGGAAATTTACCACTCATAGACGCTACATACATGTACGACTCCTTTGTTATTATCATAACTATTGTCATTATAGTTTCAGTGGCATTCAGCAAATTCAAACTTTTCGAAATATGATTACGTCAGGGGAATTCCCTTTTTTACTCTGAACTACCCCCATCGTGCTGTGAGCACAAACATGTTTACGAGGAACAGCAGTATTTAACAAATTTCAATTGTCCTGATTTCAATACAATAGTTGTCAAAATATACAATCGACTGAACATCGCGCAAAAAGGGCCGTTTGATGTGGATGTCTAATATAAAGGTAATCTGGCTTGTTTCGTTTTATTGGCAATCGCTCCGTGTCACGTTGTCGGGTTACACGACCTTGCGTTAAAATATGCCGATTTTCGGTCCTATATGAAATCAGTCGCCCTTTTCAACGTATTTTGTTTTTACTAGTCTTGGATTAATGCTAATGCGAACTTGACATTTATTTGTGGTAAAGAGTACCTGTCTAATGATCCAATAATTATATGTAAGCTTTCACAGGACCTTGTTTAAATCCAGTTGATTAAACAGCTTGCTAACTTCTTGCCTCATGACATATTCTAATTCAAAAGCTGCGCGAGGTGCATCCGATATGTGACTTTACTTTATTTTATTTCTGCATTTTTTCAAATATAATAACTGAATAACAAAGAACATGTAAACGTGAAAAATGTGTTAAAGTGATAATTTGTTCAAAAACGGGTGGGATATGTGTGAATGTTTGAGTTTACTGTAAGTGTTGTGAAATAGGGATGGTACTTGATTATGAGAATATATTGTATTTTTAATGCTTTTAAGTGATGAAATAAAGGTTCCGTGTGTGATATATGATTTGAGTCAGTAATTATGCGAATCGCTCTCTTTTGAAGCAAAAGTTTGTCTTGAACAGCACATGGGAGCCCAGAGGTTTACTAGTACTCCCTCAAAGATTAGTGATTGCAACTATATAAGGCTGAAAAAGTGTTCCAAGTAAACTGTGACCATTTTTAATGACTAAATGACAAGGTTTACTTTGAACAAGGGATGCGAGGGAAGTCGAGATCATAATATCATGAGCTTTTAGAAAAAGAGAGTATCATACATTTGGGTTTTAAATGATCATGTCCCTGAGTATGAGTTGACAATGTAACTTTTTCTATTCAAAATAATGTTTAACTAAATCAATGCGAATATGTCAGTAATATTGTTTTCAGACTGAAATAACATTCCGAAAGGGCTTTTGACTCACATTCATTGCTTCAACCCAAACGTGGTACAAGGGGAAATTGACAACACTTTTTGATCAGGCTCCTGTTCTGCTCAGTCATCCATGGCAGCAGATTTAAGAATAATTAATTATTGGACAGGATAATTACTTATTCCTTGAGAGAAAATATAGTTCAAGACCACACACGTTATAAGTTTTAATAGGGAATCTACTAAATTTGGGTATAATACTTTTTATACGCATTGAATATAACGTAAAAGCGATAAAGAAGAGTAGTTTTATTATTTAAATCCAACGTTTTTTTTAATAATTATGCATAAATATGGGTCACATGTTCTATGCGTACCTTGCGTACATTACGTCTATATCAAGTGATCACTAACTATTGCACGTCGAAAATGTATGACCTAATAAAAATGTCGGATTTAAAGCATGAAGCTTCTCTCTTTTGTTGGCGTCATCCTATGTCTGCGCGTGAAATTAATATTGGATAGCTTATATATTATGTTTTTAAGTTTTGATTACAATGTAAAGATTCTCCTTTTTTCTCGAATTCCCCCTTCACCGTGTCATTAGAGTCTCAAGTCCCATCATGGCTTCTCCGGGGCAATACAATCCACTTCTAGATGAAGAGCTTAGCGCCCTTGCAGATAACATGGGGTTCTCTGACAACTTTTCAACTTGCGTCACACCAGCACCGGGCCTTGCCTCATCAAAAGGTAAAACTCTGACCAAATAACGTTACCCTATTGCGATGATAATGTAAAGTAAATCGTTGCCTTATTCGTGTAGACAACAGCCTCTTGAATAGCAATATAACAGCACGTTGGCTGTAAAGACGTTTCTCTGCGTAACCGTAAGGCGTAGCGTTCCTTGTAATGTATTTATGAACACTCAGGCAGCATAATGATACATATAAATGCCCCAACGCCCCCACGTCCCCCCCCCCCCCCCAGCCCACACATACACACAACATTCTAAAGAATTTCCATGTGCTAGTCACAATTCCCATTGATGTTTTCTTGTTTGTATATTTTCGTTAATGCATTAATTCATTAATACATTCTGCGTTGCAGGAAGCATCCATCCGTAATCATTATTCGAAACTTATTGAAACTTATTTTAAGATATTCTTGAGATCCGCGATAGCTCGGCGCTTTGTACAATTAGGACTAGACGATAATTGTGGCTGGGTAACTATCATCCAAGGAAGGTGAATCGGTCACAAATATGTTGGTTAATTCCTGCATTAAATATGTTTATTAGAATATATCAAATTCAAGATTAGTTGATAGAAATGTGTCGGTAAGTAAAAACTTTCGAGGTGTGTAGGTATATAGATCTTAAAATTATTTTATCCCCGAGTGATGCATGCCGACCTTGCCTCAGTGCCGCCTGAGCCCGACTTCAGATGCAGATTCTTGTAGTTCATTTAACGAGGCTCAATGGTTTCATACAGGTCTCAGCGAGGCTTTTCTGATATCTTTGGCCGATGGGATTGAACATGACGAACACGCGGATTCATTAGGTCGAGCCCTTGGTTTCAGCAACACAAAACTCACGGAATTCCGAGTGACAAATCACATGAGCGGTCGAAAAACCAGCAAGGGAACGAAAGATATGCTCTTCGACTGGCGTCAGAAGGTTTCACCCAATGATCAGCATGGTGTGATGAGGAAAGCGCTCCTCAAGGCTGGTCTTTGCTATCTCGCCGACTTGCACTTTGGGACAAAGCCGAGTATGTATAGTGGTCCACTTTTCAAGGTTATTCATGGGGGCTTCGTTTACGTTATTTTCAGAAAAAACGGATAGGATTAACTGATGTACCATTCCTAATTCTATATATTTAGTGTTCAGGATGTTTAATCAGAACATAGAGACAAAATGAGAGCAATTATATTCCCACCCAATAGGTGTTTTGATTGCACTTTTCCTTAAAGGCAGTGTATTTGCAGCCAACAGCAGAAATATGAATATGTCACGTATGTCTTATCTGTGTAATTTAAATGTTAGCAGTGTCCTAGTATTAAAATTATGCAAGGAAATCCGTTTAATTGCTAGACTTTACTGTCAGACTCTATTGAGTGATTGACTTACTTCTGTTCTTCTTTGGTAATAACATACATACACTGAGCTGTAAAGGGTACATCAGCATTTGTCTACATCAATAACCCACTTCGTGTAATGAACAAAATTAAACTGATTGAATCTTTGCGCAGTTGAATCTTTGCGCAGCACAATCGTATGACCATTCGTTACAAGGGTCTAAAAATCAGACTATTTGATTAAACGACCGCGATCGCTAAATTCGATTCGACAACTAACAGTCGTTATTTTCCTACAAAAAGACATTTTCAAGCCCTTTTGTTTTGAGGGAATTTCTAAATTATTATTATCTTTCAAATGCCGTTGGAATTGTAACCTTTTCATTATTTGGCCTGCAAATGGGACATAGTACCTTTAAAGTCACAACGTGTGCACACATTGCTTCACATTTAAAAAAACAAAAACATCATCACTTCAAACAAAGACTGGATTTGTCAGTACAAGTCATTGTCTCTATGATGTGTAATCGTCCATGACCTAGCATCGTTAAGCCATTCATGAATGAACCTGCATTCAATCAGCAGATGTACGAGATTTATTGTATTATTACCAACGCTCCTTCTCTCCCCTTTCCTTTTCTTCTCTGCAAGTCAGTCTTTTCTATTTGTATTTGTTATTATTATTATTATTATTATTGTTGTTGTATCTAAGTTGAGGGCTGCGGGCACGTCAAGCTACTTTGCTTATTTCTGTAGCCCTCCTGCATCTAATGTATGTTAATTATGCCTTCAATATATTTGCTTAAATTCGTTTATTATCTGTATAAAATTATATTGTATCAAACCATATTATGTTCATGAAAATGTATGATGAAAAAAGAAAAAGATGCAGAAACCAATAAATCAAATCAAATCAAATCAAAAATAAACACAATAACTGGGACAAGTTTCTTAAACTGTCAACAGTCTTCATAGAAGTAGGTAGCTTTCTCCACCACAACTTTGCTGCAACTGATAAAAAAGACATTTCTTCTATCCTTAGCAAAACTCTTCAAGATTCATGAGCATAATTGATATGTTGTTTTGCGTTTTAATGAAGTTGAATTTAACCAGACGCCTCATCAAGCTAAGAACAACTTTTTTAATTATATCGTAATTATTTTTCAGATATTCTATACGTCCAGATCACGCCTACCATGAACTTCCAATACTGCATAGACATAGTGAGAAACCACTACAAGACAGTCCTTTGCCAAGTCCAACGGCGTCCATGGGATCCAAATGACTACATCAAATTTGACCGACTGTACACCGAATTGCATCTTCTGCAGTACGACAGGTCGACGGGTGAGATGCGGACCGAACCGTTCAGAGGGACTGTGAACCAAATAATGAGCCTCAAAGTAGAGGGGGAACCATGGAAGCGGTTACTGCTGTTGGCGCCAGGTGGATACGGGAAGACGTGCGCCATAGCAAAGCTAGCCTATGACTGGGCCTATGAAGTGGAGGGTTCTCCAATGAAGGACATACCTGCACTCTTCGCCTTGCAGCTGAGGAAAGTTGATGATGATATGGGGTTAGGAGAGGCTATCATATCTCAACTGCTAGGCATCATCCCTGGTGTTACCGCAGAAAAACTCGAGGAAATCATCGGACTTCACGAGAAAGAATGTGCCCTGCTCTGCGATGGATATGATGAATACACCAAGAGCATCAGAGAAACGAAGTCTAAGAACAGCCTCGTCCAAACCCTACAGCACAAGCGCCTGAAGAATTGTCAGGTTTTGGTGACCAGTCGCCCATTCCTGGAGGATGATTTTCTGCAAGGAAATCTATCCAGAGTTTATGTCAAGATAGAAGGCAAAGGTTTCACACCACAACTTGCTCATCAATTCATCCATAGGTACTTTGAGGCGAGGTCCACACCAGAAGAAGAAGACCATCTTAAAAGGTTCTTAAGGGCAAACTGCTTTCTTGGTGAACTGATAGCTGTCCCCTTTTTCTGCACCATGATCTGCCACTTGCACGAGGTCAAGGCATTGTCAGAAGCCAACACAAGAAGCAGCCTCTTCCGAAATCTCAACATATTCTTGTTACATCACGCAAAGGCTAAGAGTATGATAATATCGAGTGAAGGTCATCACCTCGATAATATCTTGCACGCACTTGGTCAAGTCGCTTTGTCAGGATTGTTGCAGGAGAGCAGGAAGTTTGTGTTTGAAGAACGAGATTTCAAAGACTGCCCAGATGCGTACGAAAAGGGTTTGATGCTTGGAATCCTGTCAAAGATATCCACCCCCGTGAAGCATGTCGACCATGAAGCTCTGTCAAGGACATCTGTGGAATTTTTCCACATATGGGAACAAGAGTACTGCGCAAGTGTATACCTTCAGCACCCCACTCCTGCAACAAATCGTTTTGCCACATTGCCGAAGAAAATCATGAAACCACTTTCATCATTCCAAAGTGTCAGGAGGAACTTGACAGATTCTTCATTCCAGGAACGAATGGACCTTCAGACTCTCCTCAACACAGCGAGTTCTCCCCAAAAAACTATCGTGTTCGAAAACATGATCCGTCTCTTGGCTGGAAGCAAGAACTTCCAGATATGTCAGGAAATCTTCAGCCATATCAACCGTCTGGACTGGAGATGTGCAGTACAGGATCAGGGTTACACACATTCTGACAAATGCCGTGTGATACTCCATTGTGTCAGTGAAGCAGATGCCGTGTACCTCATCGGGAAGGTCGCCCATGCCATCAGTAACTGCTTCCGGGGAGGTCGACTGTCTTTGGAGAACACTACTGCCAGTATGATCAGAGGTATCCGATCACTTCCCACGGACACGAAGATGCAGGTAAGATAATCTCCTTTTACTGTCGTTCAACCTTATTGTGTCGCGAATCCAACTTTGTATCGATCCATTTTTAAGATTTGGAAAGAGAGTAATCAGAGGCATAATACGTACACAAACTATATTATTCCAATATTGTAAAGTACTTGGGTCCACCAGATTAAAAAGTGTCGATGTGGGTTTACTTTTTTCTTCATAATTTCTTGATTGGTCTTGACACAAATGGAAATGAAAGTTCTCCTTTTCTTATTAATATGCCCCCAAATCACAATACAGCGATTTAACCATTCAAGCTCTTTAAATGTAATTTATTGGAAGTATGAATGTAATGCTAGCGATATGTTTTAACATCTTTTTTACCTTGATAATCGGCATAAGTTATAGGTTTCAATGGATTAATTGAAATTCCTATGGTACTTTCACAGTTCACAACAGCTGAAATCACAAAGAGCTGTCTCACCCCAAGGCTTCTGGACAGTCTTGCAGGCTGTGAAAGGCTGTCCAGTTTAGACGTACGTGACATCGCTTCTGTTGAAGGATCGCCCCAGGAACGCCTCCCACAGTTTTCATCAATCAAGAAATTAGCTGTCTCCTGGGTCGAACCAAAGGTGTTGCGCACATTATCCCGATGTATGCCGGCGGTGGAGGAAGCCGAGGTACGCATGCGTCTCGACGATGACGCCGCAGAAGAAGACATGTCCGCCATCATCGAAGCGGTTGGGATGATGGGCGCTACGCTCAAGACCTTGACAATCTTTGCTGCATCGGATCTTGGGAGTGTCTCGACAGAAGCAGGTCAGGAGTTCGGACGAGTTCTTGTTGCGGGTCACCTTGAGACACTGAGCGTGTGGTTCTTGCATATGTCTGAGGCCGGACTCATTGACATCATCAAGTCATGTCAACAGGCAGCCCGGATCAAGTTGGTCAGGTAAATTCCACAGAGAAACTTTCAGGATAGCTTTTGCACATGGGCACGACTTAATGTATTGCAGTGAAAGAATTCATTCAACTAATGAATTTATAAATGGGTTGTTGGACACCGTCTATCAAAAACTAACCGATCTCCTATAACATCAATCCGAGACTAAACACTAACCTTATCCCCACCTTAAACCTTACCTTAAAAAAAAGTAGCCCTATAAACCATAATAATAAAAATATCTTTGACAAAATAAAGATCGGGGCAGTTGTCTTCGAAGCAAAAGTTGCATCACCAAAATAATTATTATTTCAAGTAACTTTCTCTTTAAGTAAACATGTTTGAGAGCAGATTTGAATTCTTGCATATATCACGTGCCTGAAATTTTTTGGAAGGAGATCAATATTTCTAACTTAACAACTTACCCTCAAATTATATCAATCTATAAATATTTTGTCCACCATTTATCTTGTTTTACTTCTCAGATTCTTGAAATGTAGACCAGTGAAACGCAACGGTGACGCGTGCAAGTTCTTGGACGGACTAGCAGGCAAAGGCGCACTGAACCGAAGAACCGCAAGGAGAATCACTGTTCAAGTAAATGATGTAAGTCTGGTTTGTTTGTGTATATTTACCGCCGTATTAATTGTTTTTTAATAAAAAAAACATACTGCCGGAACAATGAGACTGCTTTAAAAAAGTTCGATGATAAAAGTGTAACTGTTGTTTTATTACGGCCAAACACACTTGTAAAATGCAAAGCTACAACAAAAATTCTGCAATTGCATGGAGAAATATATTAAGGACATCCGTTGGATGTACACGTACATGGTGCTTGGCCTAAAGCAATTGTATTGGAAGATTTTAGTTGTTCAAGATGACTTTTTTTTCTTCTTGTAAATCATTTAATAAAATGCCTTACTCAAAAGAGCAGAAAAGGTCAAGAAACCTGCAAAGCCTTTAAAGGTAATAAGATGTCAGTGAGTCTCAAACAAACATCCGTATCTAATATATATATATATATATATATACATATATATATCACTTCACAATCAGTCATAAATGTCATGTAGGCTCAATAGCATGATTCTTTATAGTGTAATCTCTCTTATTTCTTACTCTCTGTTCTTTAATGACCATAGAATTCCTGGATAATTCCACATGCCCTACAAGCTTCCACCATTTGAAGATCGAATGCAATCTGTAAACACATTATCAGCGGGATCGCTGAACATTACTTCATGTCCCTGAATCGGCTCTGTATGCAGACGGGCCAGGCTACCTGATATTTAATTCTTTGTGTTTTCTAGTGCTTCGTATACTATCTATTATGTCTCCAAGCCAGGCGCGTACACAGGGGGGTGTTTGGGGGGTTAAACCCCCCCTTTGGTAATTTTTTGTGTGTAAACCCCCCCCCCCCTATATTTGTCTAAACCCCCCCCCCTTTTGGATTTTTTTTTTTTTTTTTTATAAAAAAAAAAAAAAAAAAAAAAAAAAATTCCCATGGTTGACCTAAAAAAGCTGACCTTACCCCCCCCCCCCAACGGAGCAAAATGTCAAATTTCCAAATTTCGAGACCAAAAAAAAAAAAAAAATGCGTCCTCTTACCCCTACCCCCCCCCCCCCCCCCCCCCCCCCCCCCCCCCCGCTTATTCAGCGGCTGGCTGAGTCGTTGCGAAATTTTCGGCCCGATTTTTAAATGTTAAAACCCCCCCTTGAAAAAATCCTGCGTACGCGCCTGCTCCAAGCACTGTACAAATATACATTATTATCTGGGCCCCGTCTTATAAAGAGTTGCGATCGATCCGAATCAATCGCAAGTTTGCAATCTCCTATCTCTTATGTACATAATGCTCCCACTTTGTGCCCATTTTAACGGTACATGAAAAGATGTTATTTGCAAAATTATCAATGTGCCAAATGACTCGTTCCTGAAGGAATCAAAGGTGTCATTACATGTAGGTAGCTTCTTCACTATTGTGTTTTACTCTACAATTAAGCAAAGTACTCGGGGTTATATACGATTATTTGTGGATGCAGGACTTGTCAACCCTAAGTCCCTAACCCTAATGTATTCAAATGTACATCTTATAAGAAACCATGCACCAGAAGACGAAAGACTTCATACATGGCTGATCGTCAACGAAAAACAATATGTACACCGGTCAAGTATTTATATATTAAACATAGATCCATCCCTTAAACAAAGTACCAGTCTATACACATTTAAAAAAGGCTGAAATTAATTTGTAAATACATATGATTGAATGTATGTGCCATCGCCGTCAGCTTCATTGTTGGCACTGCTATAATATATACATGAATCTCGGTTTGTAACCTTTCTTTAATTTTTGCCTTTTACTATTTTCATCCATTGTTTCCTCTCTTTTATTTTTTTAATTTGTTTTCTCCCCCAAATTCACAATTTCTTTGCTACATATTTTTAAATTTATTGATTTTCTAAGTATACTTTGTTCAAGATATATTGTAAAACAGCATTAATTTTGAGGAACTAATACTTCAACAAGCTCTGCTTCTGTTTCTCTGTACTCGTGGTATTACTGTTATATTTGTCGTTTCATTTGTATATTTTTTGTAATATACCTATTCATTGTATTATGTTTTGCATGAGAAATAAATCATTTGAATCACAAAAAGTCTTTTGTCAACTCTTTTTGTTGCTACGGCAAGCAGTCAGTGAAAACGAATTCGTTTAATAAAATTATGGAAATGCAAGCATTACTTTAACCAAACAGAACTTTGCTATTTTTGGCCAAATTGTTCCTGATTGAGCTAGGTGTCATGAAAATGAGCTTTCTAGGAATGTGATTTTCTCTTTGAAATTCAGATACCGTTCGCCAAATGACTTTTTGGTACCCTTTCTTCAAATTGTTTTTAATCACTAATTTGTGACATATGCATCATTATGGATTGTGTCTAATGAAAGAGGAGGATCTGAGCTTTACAAATATGTGTTATTTATTAATTAAAATTGCGATTAGGCCTAGGTTATGATAAAACATGGATAATGCTCGGTTTCGTTTCTTTCTTGGACACACTGTATAAGCAATAATAAGTTTAAACTTGACGAAATCTCTCTTCCATTTTCATACAATATCTACCCGCACTTAATTAGATGCAATTCCGTTCCTTGCAACTCTATCTGGTCATGCTAAATGAAAAGACGTTTTGTGTGTGCGTGTGTGTGTGTGTGGGGGGGGGGGGGGCTAGCCAACTTAAATTTGAACTTTCTCCAAGTTTATTCTCATGAAATTTCTACCACACGCACTAAGATGCAACGTGAACTGCTGTTTGAGTGATCTATACGTGGCAATTGAGTCTGAAAGTTCTACCACACAAAAATGATACCAAATGATTTGGGATAAAACACTCTGTCATAAGAAGAAGTATAATATAATAATGCTCATAGATGATCTTAAAAATAATAAGCAATTTTCTAGGTGTAAACTGTTTTTTTGACTCATACTGTAGTGTCTGAGTTGTATACATAAAATTGTATTAAAGGGCGCAGTGGCGTAGACAGGTTCGTACACCTGGGGGGGATGATTCAGGGGCGGATCTAGCTTTTTGCTAAGGGGGGGTTGACCTAAATAATGACGATGCGGAGCATCGTCCACGAGCCGCGAAGCGGCGAGCCGATTTTTTTTTGGGGTGTATATTTGAACCCCGTAAGTGATGTTTTCCTGGCATCTATTAACACAATGGAGACCATAAAAAGCAGTGCATGATAACGTCTTTTTAAATCAAGTAACAGTTAAATACACAGTTATATCCAGAGTTATTGTGTTTGGTTAAGTTACCAGATGAGTTGAATATCTTCTCACAATATTTGCACTTGAAAGGGTTTCTCTCCAGCGTGCGTTCTTTTTTCTTTCTTTTTTCCTTTTTTTTCTTCTTTTTCCCCCCCTTTTTTTTTGGGGGGGGGGCCGCCCAAGGGGGGGTTTAAACCCCCTAACCCCCCCCCCCCCGTAGATCCGCGCCTGTTTAATATTGTGGTTATCTTGTGGTTTCCAAATCACAAGATAACCACAAAATACTTGTAAGATTTTCTTTTTTTTACCGTCTGAATTGGCTTTCACCGTGTGAATGCGGCTAATAACAATAAACACAATTACAATAATGATGAGGATTATTATTATCATCATCATAATTATTATTATTATTAATATTATAATTGTTATCATTATTATTATTACTATTATTATCATCATTATGACTTATTAAGTAAGCCAATATCATTCCCCAAAACCTGGGGGGGATGATTGTACATGCCATCCCCCCCACCTTGTGAGGTGGGGGGGATGCATCCCCCTCATCCCCCCCCCCCCGTTGTCTACGCCCCTGAAAGGGCGTTGCAGGGAATTTGCACGGTGTAAGTATCAAAACTTGTCAAAGGGCCAAAAATGCTAAAGAAAAAAAAAATCATAATTGACAAGTTTCCTAACGTATGATGGGAAATATTCAATAATAGCAACATTACAGCCATTTTTCTTTTTCTTTTGAATTTTATGTTTTATTCAGCCTTGTTTTGCACAAAATGAGGTCTTCGATTATAGAGAAACCACACTACCACATGTCTTTTGATATGTAAGTTTGGACATATTATTTTGATAAACTCATCTTGCCGGTATACATAGGCCTATTTTGAGATAAGTTATATTGAGGGTTTACAATCCTTGATAGAGGTAATATTACTCTCAAAAGCAGTGGCGGATCCAGGGGGCGGGGCCCGGGGGGCCCGGCCCCCCCCCCCCTTGAGAAAAAAAATCATGCAAAATCACGCGATTTTTACCTTTTTGGGGGGTTGGCCCCCCCCCCCTGGCGCTCAAGGGGGGTGCAAATTTTAAAATTTTCGAGGACCAAAAAAAAAAAGTTGTGCTCATTACCCCCCCCCCCCCCCCCCCCCCCCCCCCCCCCCCCCCCCCCCCCCCCCCCCCCCCCCCCCCACTGAGCGACTTTTCGGCTGGCTGAGTCGTTGCGATTTTTTTTTGGGACTCCCAAAAAAAAAATTAAAAAATGTCCGCTTACCCCCCCCCCCCCCCCCCCATTTTCGGGAGCAAAAAAGAAAAAAAAGTTGGGCCCCCTCCCCTAAGAAATCCTGGATCCGCGCCTGCTCAAAAGAAAGATATAACAAATTTAGAATTTGCGAATTGAAAAATTGGCTTTAGGATATAAACTCCTTTTCCGTAGGATTGGAAGATCAAAAAAGAAAAAAAAAAGTTGGGCCCCCTCCCCTAAGAAATCCTGGACCCGCGCCTGCTCAAAAGAAAGATATAACAAATTTAGAATTTGCGAATTGAAAAATTGGCTTTAGGATATAAACTCCTTTTCCGTAGGATTGGAAGATGGCTACACCAGACTCTGGATATGGCGCCTTGCATTGACCACCATACCACCCCATACCACCGGCTAGATCAGAACAGTGGTATCTTGGCGGCTTCGGTGCGGCGCCATCGATCTGGCCGTGTCGTGCGGCTTGCATACTCATCTGAGGTCTTCCAGCGTGCGAGTTACCTCAGTGCAGGCCCCCGTCGAGTCCGTTGGTCCCTGGTCTGTCCTCGCATGGCCATACGGTAATTTTGTGTTGACATTTCTGATTTAGCTTTGACGTGTCCATCCATTGTGGAATCCATTTTCGGTGAGTGCTTAGCTAAATTATTAGAGTAACTTGCCAGATGCAAACAACTCAATAAAGCTAGGATTAGGAACTTTGGTTTTACTTCAGTAGTTGTTTTAATAATAGAAACATTTGGGGGCCTTGTTTTAATATAACAAACGAAGTTAGGCCTAGAGAGTCTATATCAGAATGAGGAAACAATTTGTTTTGCCCATTTGTTTTTGTGATGCCAACATGATGTTGAATATGTGGGGCAATGCTTAATAGTGGAAAAAAGCTGAAAAAGATAACTTTCCTCACTAATCTTTGCAATTGGAGGATCATCAAGTAAATGAGTAGTTGTGCATACAAATGGACAACTTATAGACTAGGTCTACTATAAGCATACCTTAGTAACCCAAACCAAACTATCAAATGAAAGCAAGAATTTTAGGCTCCAAATAACTGCAGTTGGAAAATTTATTGCCAAAATAATGTTAGGTTTAGACCTAAATCTATTGACTATTGTTGGCAATTTAACGCAATCTCAAATTTAACGTCAGACCTGATGTGCTGTATGGTACGTAGTGTGACCAAAGTTCGCTATCTCAAAAAGTCAATAAGATTTCGAAAATCTGATATCACTAATGGAAAGAGGAACATAAAATTACCCAGACTCCAGAGCTGAGATGAAATTTTCTTTGGAATTACCGGTAGGTGAAAAATTGTAAAAATATTGACAAAAGATCGGCAAATTTTGCAATTATTTGCGTCCGTTCTGAAAAATTATCAACTTACTGACAAGGGTCTGAAAATCTTTAATTTGAAAGCAGATTTCCTCAAAATTGTAAGTAAAAATAGTACCAACTGATTGTATAATATCTTGCCTTGCAAATTACCTTATTTTTGATGGATCACATTTTTTGATAACTCGATCAACTGTAAACCCCTGTGCGTGAAGTTACAGGGGTGTAGGTCTCGTTGTTTTTATGACTTTTTTAGATGCAGCGTGCACGCATGATCGGACATCAAATTTTTGGGTCGCGATATCTCTGAAATTAATCCTTTGACGATAAATTTCTAGCTGAACCAATGTGTAGTAAAAAAAACTTTGCCGTCCATTTGGTAATAATTGAAATAAATAAATTTGTGTAGAAAGTGAGAAATCGTAGATCAAATATCACATTTTGTAAAATGTCCATAAACTTTGGTCACCCCTTCATACAGCTGAAGAAAAAGTTATTAAAAAAAGAAGTTCTTGATTTTGGCTGATTTATCAAAAATCAATCTTTCAAAGGTAAGAAGAATTAAGAATAAGATAAGATGAATGCATAAATAGTGATAGCCAAAGTAATGTTAATATCAATTGGTACTATGAGTATGAATTTATTTTTGACATCTTCTCTAGAAAAAAGATTTCCTGACACTCCTGGTGGAGTCAGACTGGGCGTGCGCATGAAATGGTATTACAATACTATTGAAAATAATATTGCACATGAGCCTTGAATACGTCAGGATCTTGAATGTAAACTACTGTATAGGGTATATATGGATTGCGGTAAAAATTCCAGTCTGTAAATGTACTTTTTGAAAGAAATTAACATTTGAAGGAATTGTTGTTCAAACTAATTTCAGAAAGTCTTATTTTTAAATGCGATCTTATTTTTATGGTAATAAACAAGTAAAAGAGTGAAGCAGATGGTCTTGCACTGGAACAGAATCCTGCATGAGATTTAAAGAAGATGGTCTGTAGTAATCCTTCTCATTTCAGAAGTTTGATCCCACCAAGATCTTGCACCATGGAAGTAAAACTACTTTGCCTGCCGTCGTCATTCTTGACAAATTTGGCACTTTTTTTTTACTGCCTCAACTAGGGATATGAGGTTGTAGGAATATATGTTGTAGGTTGTATGGGAATCCTACACCAATGAAAAATATTCAAATGATTGTCTGAGAATGTTTTAATACACTAATCCAAATTGTCAGCCTACATTGTGCATTAAAGTTACATTGTGATATTTGTCATGTCTATTTGTTATTTCATCAACAATAACAAAATGCATAGAATGGATTTGTATCTCATTTTAGGAATGTTTTAATCTTTGCAGGACATCATGAGGGTAAAAGCCAAATGTGTTTTGCTGCTTGTCCTGCTCACAGTTTTGGGAATCACGCTGCTGTATAACTACCATGGTAAGTAACATTTATCTAGGAATTTACTTACTTTACTTACTTTACTTTACTTGACTTTACTTGACTTTACTTTAATACAAAATGTTGTAGGTCTAAGCCTGTTCATCAATAAAGGATTCTTCCATGGTTACTGCTATTTGTTGAGGGAGGAGATTGTGTGCTAACATGAACACCAGACGGACAACAGATCCAACAAAATAATACATTACCCCTAATAGCCAAGAATTGGTCGGTTGACTCCTTTTGGAGTTGGTTTAGCAGTGTGACCGAACTACAATGTACATGTACATGTATATTAACAACCACTCGTAGAGAGGCAAAATAAAACTTAGGACAATTTTTAAGTGACCATAGTAGTTCAGAATTTTCTTTGGGTCTAAATGAATCAGCTTTCCAACCTTAAATTGGCAACAGTAAATTGTTTTTTTTTTACACTCTTTCATTCTTGTACTTTAGCTGTAAAGCCTGTCTGTATGGTAGTTTAGTACTATTTTGATAGATCAAAAACTACAGATACCTAATGCATTTATTGACTTAGTTTGATGTGATATTTGTATGATGTTTACAGCTGCTGTGGATGAGGAGGTGCCTGGTGAACTGACGCGACGTGAGCGTCTTCTCCTACAGCAAGTGACCAGAGACCCCAACAGAGTCATCCATTACAACTACCCCATCACCAACGAAGCCAGCATTAGCAGGGAACCTATTGACATTAGTGTAGAGATGCCAGCATGGCAGGTACGTACACGACAGAGTACACTCTATTACATATTTCCAAAGTTCCTTGTACTTTCGGACTGAGGAAGAATTTTCAAAATGATTTGATATGAACATTCAAACGTGTAAAGCATGACGATCAAGGTTCTGAATAAGCAAAGGAATCATGAAATTACCATTTTGAAGTATTGCAAGCAAGCTTCCTGATGGGCGTAAAAGCTAAATTCACTCAGTCGTGCGATGGTCTAGGATTTGCCACCAATTTCAGCCATTACCTTCGCTAGCAGATTTAAGATCCACCAAAAGTTCTATATTTTCTTGATCCTATCATGATACGGAACCTAAGTAAATTTGTTTATTTTTTTGAAAGTCAAATTGCATTTGGATCCCGTAGTTTGCTGCAGGCGTAAGGGCTTAAAGGTACTACGTCCCTTTTTCAGCCAACCTCAAATGCTGTAGAACTTAGCAGGAATTATGAATATGTCATGTATGTCCTATCTGTTAAATTTAAACGTTTGTAGTGTCCTCATATTCAAATTATGCAAGGAAACCCGTTTACTTGGTAGACTTCACTGTCAGACACTTGAGTGAATGACTGGCTTTTTTTCTTCTTTGGTAATAACATACATGAAAAGAGTTGTAAAGGGTACATGAGCATTTGTCTACATCAATAACCCACTTCTTGTGATGGCCAAGATTAAACTGATTGAATCTTTGCGCAGCATAAAACGTATGACCATTCGGTACAATTGTCTGAAAATCAAGACTATTACTTTTGGGCTCTATAGCCCTAAAGTCGATTTGACAACTAATAGTCATTATTTTCCCACTTGAAGACATTTTCAAGCCCCACCCTTTTTAGGAAAGTTCTAAATTAGTATTATCTTTCAAATGCAGTTGGAATTTAACTTTTTCATTTTTTTGGCCTGCAAATGGGACATAGTACCTTTAAACCCGGCTCAAAAGTAAAATGAGTTGCACATAAATACACTCCATGTATTTTCTTTTCCTAAATACTCTTCCCCAGGAGGTTGATAAGCACATTGTGGTGGTAACAGGCTTCAGTCAGAAGAAGGCCTACGTAGGTCTAGGCTTGATCGCCTCTGTTCAAGCTCACATGCCAGTCAAGAAAATTATTGTCTACAACTTAGGAGTCCATCCCAAGATAGTCAAGCAGGTAAGATATCATCTCCAATGTACTTCATCAGGTGTAGATTCATGAGGAGGGGGGGGGGGGGGGAAGAGCACAACTTGTACTCCCCTCTTTAGCTTATAGTCTAAAAGTCTACTTGCACATTGTGATACCATTTTTGTCACTTGTCTGAGATTTTATCCAATAACAGGCACAGGTCTGCAAATGTGAGACTCGTTTTAGAGGTCCAGAGGTTTTTAGGACTTGTGCCCCCTCTGTCTGTATGATCGAGGGTCCTGGATAAGCCCCTAGCTGCACTTCATTGCTTGTCAATGTTTGTGATTTTCACCAAGACTGATTCAATTTGTTATCGCTTTAATGATTCCAATATTTCACGATAGTCATTATTCAATTGTTCTTTCAAGTTTTTCTAATAACTTGTAGACAGTTTCTTTCATAATGAAATCACATGATCTAACCTCAACTGTACCTTAAGATATATAGCTCTTTAGAAATTTGTTCAATGATAGGTTAAATTGTTCCCAGAAGGTTTAAACCATCCTCATTAATTTTAATCAGTCATTCATTATCAAAGGTTATTTTTCTCTCCCCTCCCCTTGTCTTCGTCATCTCTGTAAATAAATTGACCTTTTGATTTGTCTCGTGACCTTTTGATTGCCTCTGATTACCCTCATGACCTTTTGATTGACCTCATGACTTTGATAAACCTCATGACCTTTTGATTGACCTAATAACCTTTTGGTTGACCTCATAACCTTTTGGTTGACCTCATGACCTTTGATAAACCTCATGACCCTTTGATTGACCTAATGACGTTTTGATTGACCTTCCTCACCAGATGGAGCAGATGTGCAACGTGGAGGTGAGGCGGTTCAATTTCACCAACTACCCCAAGCATGCTGCTAAGATTGATAACAAGGCCTGGAAGATATTTGCTCTCAGGGTGAGATATAACTTTTTCAACAATTTTGTACCATAGATGGCAAATCAGACCATTAGAAAACAAAATCCTGTTTGGCTTTAGCCTTTAAAATGTACATGACCCAATGTGTGGTACAAATAATGCACTGTTCTTGGTATGAAAATGTTCACTGTTCAGTTCTATTATTGATGTGTATGATGCATCGTTTAGATCCTAAGATCAATGACAGATTCTAATCCGAAAGCCACCAACCCTTGCAGATGCTTATTTGTGCGTGCGTGCGTGAGCTTACATTTACATCTGCGTAATTGATTGCAACACATTGCTACAAATGTATGAAGTGTACATTTTTTTCAAAAAAATTCCCTCAAATCTCATTCGTCAAAATTGCTTTACAGTAGCTTGATGATTGTGCTTTTTCTTTGTTCCCTCATTTTGTATCCTCATGTTCTGTTTCTCCATTCTGTCCTAAACACATCAGTTATGTGGAAGTGGGGGTATTACACTAGTTGACACAGGGGCCCACCCATAAGGCACTGAAAATTAAACCTGCTGCAGGATATAAACTTGGTCTTAAAGGTAAAGACCAGTTTTGGAAACGCCCCCTCTCAAAAAATGAAATGGAAGCTCTTATTACCAATAATGTGATAGGATATGCTTGACTAATACGTGATGATACAAATTTTGCCTGGAAACCGCCTACTAATTGATATATTTGGTAAATTATCATATCTTTCCGGCCTGGATAGATATCGCGTAGATGATTCCAGAACCTTGCAGTACACACCAATCATTGTATGCTAGATGATCAACCTTTTTTGATCAATTCCACAACTTTTCTTTCACACTGCAATCGCATGACCAGAACTGGTCTATACCTTTAAATCAATCCTATTTAGACCAAGTTCTAAGGTTTTCTTTGTCAGACATGTGTTTTTTTTCTTAAAGTGAATTAGTAGAATATGGACTATGTATATGCTTTTACTGAAGAACTGAAGAATGTTGAATATCACTCCTTTTTTAATCCATTTTTTCTCAGGAGGTTCTGATGGAGTATGGTGGATTCTTCTATGCAAGCCCTCAAGTTCGTTTCCGTGCTCCTATCAACTTCATCATCCCCTACATCCTCAAGCATGAGGGCATCATCGCCATAACCAACCCTCAGAACCTCAGTGTAGAGGTCACGCACCCTGACCTCTACGGTATCCTCCGTACCAGCCCCGCCCGGTTCACCAAGGCCCACCCCAACGCTTTCATCGCGTCAGAACACATGTGGCTTGCGCTCAACGGCTCGGTGCCGGAGACCAAGATATGGACGCCGCTCCTTGACTGCGCATCCAACTGGCGCTGCATTGGGCCTCATGGCTCGACGTGGGGTGACATCGAGCCCAATGTGAATGGTACAAAGGCCCACACGCATCGCTATGACATGTCGGCTCTCTCGCTGCTGCTGTATCGTAACTATTACGATTCGTGGCATAGCGATACCAGTATGAACGCTATCTTGAAACGGATCGCCGATGTGATCTATCATTTGGATCTTCACGACTACTTGTGGGCTCATTACTGCAATCCTCCAAAGAAAGAAATAGACTGCTCTATAGAGAGAAAACTTTGCTGAACTAATCGAAGTTAATTGAATATTTTTATACAGTTGAATTGATATTCTGCTGATTACCTAAGACATGCCTATCATTTCTAAGTCTTTCCTGAATGAAATAAATCATGAAATGAAACGCTAAATGTTGTGAATCTCTATATAAATTTTGTAATGAAATATCTTCAAATGTGAAAAAAAATTGCTTGATATTTTAGGGATAACTTTTCAGAATGTTTGGTAGCATTTTCTTGCAGTATTCAGTTCACAGGTGCTTTATCTCTGCTACTTTATGCACTACGCAAAATGTATTTCAGATATCCTAAATGACTAATGTAAAAGATGTTATTTTTCATTCCTTTGCAAACATGAATGATTAATTTAGATGTTATTGTATAATGGAGTTGGTCGTAGAATTTTGTAATTATATTTAAGGAGAAGTTAATGTATGACAGCTTATTCAATTTTCTGTTATTTATATTGTACCGGTATGTTACTTCTCTATATATATCTTGTGCTTTTGAAGGCCAGTTTTTCTTGTAGCTGCAATGTATCATTGCTAAGCTTGGCCTGTTAGTCTTTAATTTGTTCATTATCAACTAGCCTAATTGTAGCTCTGGATTTTTGTTTTTCTTTTATAGATGTTCAATGCAAAGTTGTGCTGAAGGGAGACTAGGGACAATCTATTCCTATTCATTGGTACTGTTCATGAGAATTGATAGCCATGCAGAGTGAGCTTTACATTTTCTTTGCAATGTTCTCTTCTCATACATATGCATTTCAAAGTTCTTGTTGTATTTATTCTAAGAATGTTTGTATGATGTAGAAGAAATGTATTCATTGTGTATTCATGTAGTTTTTATCAGTATTATAGAGTTTTTGATGATTATGCAGTATTAATTGAATGCCTTTTGTATCAGATTTTGTACATTCCAAATGCAATATTTTTATCAACATAGATTGTAATTATTTTTGTATTAATTATTTATAAGTGATTGATTTACTTATATTTCCTTTTTTTAAGATCTGAATGATTATTATGCTGATTCCATTGAATTAAAAGAATAGTGAATAGAACTTGAAGCTTTACACTTTTCATGTGCAAGTATGTAATGTATACTTAAAGATTTCAACAGCCAAGGGGAAGGGGTCGGGGTGGGGGGGGGGGGGGGTATATGGGCGTAGCATATAGCCCAGCCCGCCCTCCATACCATATGATCATGATGATTATAACTGATGATGATAATGATGATGGTGATGAAGGTAGTGATCAATGAAAACAAGTTCACCGTTATATATATTCAATACACTCGTTTCAATAGGTTGTCGGCGAACTTGTAGGCCTACTTGCAACCGTTACATGAAAACGCTGCCATAATGATAAAGATGTCTACCAGTATTGCAATGATACATATAAAGATGACTATGATGATGATTATGGTGATGAATAAATTAAAGGTGATGATAAAGAAAAAGGTGACGAGCAGTGATGATTGATGATAATGTTTGAAGGATAGTTAGTGCTGATTATAGTTATAATGATGATTTTTGTAACATTGTTGGTAGACTCACTGATGAATATCATATTAAAATAAAACACAAAATTCGTGAATCGACATACAGAAATAGAAGGGAGAAAGAAAAGAATATACTGTACGCCCTCTTCAGCTGAATTAATTACAGTCAAAAATGGCAGCCTACATGGGACATGCCGAATGCTGAGCCGAGTCGATGAACTAATTTTTTACTCAAAATAAATGTTTCAAGAACCATGGCTGTTGCAGATATTACGGCACACCTTAGGAGGACAATAATAAGCTTTAGAAATACTAAAAGATTCGACACAATATGTAGAATCAATCAAGTTCGAGCTGTCTCAACATCCCTCGCCATGTCAAACTCGGCTGCCAGCGGGAGAAGCGGACACCAGGTCGGGGACCGGGCCCCGAGCAGTACTTCGATGTTGCCGAGAAGCCCGATGCACTTTTCAAGGGGTCTGGCATCCAGAGCTCATATGAAGTACAACAAGAGGAAAAAAGGTAAGGTCTTAAGTAGGGTTTGTCAAGAACTATTCTCTAGGTTTCCCGCACCCACCGTCGGTACGGTAGGCCTATGCAATTGTATTGTGCTGCATTTTGCCCTGAATGCAGCACAATTGCAATTGTATTGTGCTGCATTTTGCCCTGAATCCTGTGAGAAAGTGCATATTATTGTAGTGATTTGATTACCAGTACATTTAGACCAAATTTTCCGTCTCTTTCGTTCGTTAGCCTCTTATTGGGGTAGGGTCGGCTCTCTCTTTAGAGACGGAAACCGTCTATACACATTCCCTTGATAACGCCACGGCCATTTCAGGTCGTAGCGTTTTGCCCCCAAAATCCCCCAAAATGTCATTTTACCTCATGCATTGTTTATTCAAAATTAGGAGAAGGTTATACTACATCGGTTCCACTTACCAACTTGACTGAAATAATCCGTTTAATGGTCCCTTTTAAGGAAATTATGGGTCAAAATCGACATCCATGTTGAAATCTTGCAAGCCGTGTTAAACTCTCGCTGCGCACGGAGTCATCTAAATGAATCTCATCCCTTCTAGTCTACGCCGAAGGCAAAACGATTATGAAGGAAAAACTGTGCGCGATCTACACGTTCGTAATGGCGTTATCACAGTTTTTCCTTCATAATCGTTTTGCCTTCGGCGTAGACTAGAAGGGATGAGATTCATGCACGCCACAACTAGGCGTTGTGGCATGCGCCTGTAATCCAGCTAACAGTGGAAGTTACAAACTGATTCAGCCGAGGACGCAGGTTCGAAACTGAGTCACGTCTTTCGGATGGTGACGTTAAAGGTCGGTCCCCAGACGTAAATAATCATATCTGATTGATACACGTCTGTAAAAACCAAATACACACACACACATTTAGATGACTCCGTGCGCAGCGAGAGTTTAACACGGCTTGCAAGATTTCAACATGGATGTCGATTTTGACCCATAATTTCCTTAAAAGGGACCATTAAACGGATTATTTCAGTCAAGTTGGTAAGTGGAACCGATGTAGTATAACCTTCTCCTAATTTTAAATAATCAATGTATAAGGGGGTTCACTATGTACAGACAGGAAGGATTAGATCTCAGACAGGAATTGGGTTAAAACACCTTTAATAAGGCGACAACGGCCTTAGAAACAACAATCGGAATCTTACAGACAATCGTCCATTTTCCCCTCTCTCGATCCCTCTCCCGATCATATCGGTATCGGTATCGGTTATCACGATATCAATCCCTATACTCTCCCCCACCAAAAAATACCCTACGGGGTTTTTTCAAATTATATTCAAACATTTCCAAACTGCTCATAAAACAAGCCAAATCTCGCCCGAGACATATACATGTGAAGCAACAATTTTGCAACCAAGCGCGCGTACAGACAAAACAGACGACCACCAGTTCTCTTAATTTGCTGTGATCGCTATCGACTCTTTCTATGTTGAGTTCAGGGTAAATCTATACACCCAGTTCGCTTGTCTGCGCAAGATACCATCAGTACTCAAAAAATGTACACTGTAAGAATAACGAACACCGCACCCCAAAGGATAGCTTTCCCCCTTTAAAACAGAGATGCAAAATACATAATGCCAAAAACCAACAAGAAAAAACGTCCAATACAGATTATCGTCTGAACATGTTCAAACATATCCATGAATACCTTTTCAAAGAAAAATCAAAAGAAGTAACACAGCACCAGCACAGCTGAGTGCTCTTTTGTTTGATTTCTTTCTAAAAGAAATAACCCTTAGACAAATTTGTAATTTATCCCTACCTGCATGGCTAAAGTGTAGGATGAATGACAACTAAACATACTTCGTATCCTCTATTAATTTAAATCCGTTCAGCAGGTCCGGCAAAAACATTTAAATATATATAACAATATATATATATATATATATATAGTTATACCCAATGTCAGGTCAGATATAGTGTTTACCAAAGTGTAGGACGTTAGCAAAACTAACATCTGTATATGTGTAAATTATAAACTACACTCAATTGGTAGTCCTTTTGTTTCGTTTATCTTTTGAAACACAAATTCTGTGTACATACTGTATAACAATTTCATGTGCACAAAAATTCAGTGTACATGTATAACTCTAAGTAAAAACACTAGATGCAAAGACAGAAAATTCGCAGGGAATCACAAGTTTATATACAGTTCCAATTTTCAACAATTTCCAACCGGTTGTATTTATCCTTTAACTGTAAAGATAAGGATCCGACATGTTAATATTATAATAGTCATCAACAATTCTGAAGAGTGCATAATTCTGCACGAGCCAGAATTAAAGCACATGGGCACGCACCAATATAAATGGTTGACATTAAACATATAACATCAGTTGAAATAAGAGTCTGTTAGAATCTATATTAAGAGTCCAGATCAATTAAACTTAGCGTCCATTTAGTTTCGCGATCCATAGCCCAACTGCGACAGTCCCGCTCTCGACCAAACTGCAATCTTACTCGGCTATAGAGGTAAGTCAATGTAATCGTGAGTCGTGAACTTTCAACCAGTCCTGATCCAATATGCTACAATAACCGACGATTTTAACAGCGTTGACAACATGCGAAGTCTATGTTCGAAGTAATTAGCACCCTTTCAATTGGTCCACATGAACAATGCGAGTTATCTTCTTGTTGGCAGCGTTCACCACAAGAAAATTCACTGGGGTTAGTTTTTTCTGCACAACAAACGGCCCAGTCCATCGTGGTGCTAGCTTAGCTGAGAAGTTCTTTTCCGCATTTGATAGAGGTTTAGTCTTCACCATGACTTGGCTTCCTTCAGTGATGCGGCACTCATCACGGCTCTGGTCGTAGTATTGTTTGGAGCTACTAACAGCGCGTCGACGATTGTGTGCGATTTCTTCTTGCGTAGGAATGTCTTTGTTTCCCTCAGTCTGCAGGCGGTTAGTCAAGGGAGAAGCCAAGCGCCGTCCAAACATAACTACTGATGGTTCTACACCAAGTGTGTCATGACTACTGCTGTTCAGGGCAAACGCGAGTTCAGCGAGATGAACATCCCACTGTCGATGGTCAGATCCGGTGTAAGCTTGAAGCATGGCCTTGATGTTACGATTCACCCTTTCGACCCAGTTCGTTTGGGGGTGATATGGCGTGATGAAGATCTGCTCAATCCCCCAATCTGTGCAGACAGCTCGCAGAACCTTCCCTCTGAATTGGGGGCCATTGTCCGAGAGCAGGGCTCCTGGAGGTCCATATCTGCAGAACAGCTCCCTCACTAGAGTGGTTGCAACCGACTGGCTGGTAGCTGACTTCAAAGGCAGAATCTCCACAAACTTTGAGAAATGGTCGACAGCCACCAGAATATACTCATGCCCATCATACGACTTTGGCAAAGGCCCCATGAGATCTACACCAACCTTTTCCCAAGGCCTCGTGGAGGTACTAGACAACATCTTCCCTTGACGTCTCTGGTAAGAAGGCTTTGTTTGAAGACAAACCTTACAACTGCGAATAAAGCTTCTTACATACTGCGACATACCACTCCACCAGAGACCCATCGACTTCAACCTTTGAAGTGTCTTCTTTCTCCCAAGATGCCCAGCTATTGGCTTGCAATGACACTCAACTAACACTGCATTCTGAAGTGCCTTGGGGATAACTACACATTCATTCTTATACAACACCATTCCCTTCAAACTGAAATCTGAAAACTTCTGAACAGGACCTTGATCCTCCCCACCACCATTCTTTTGCTTTTCAAGGATCTGAATGATTGGCAAAAGATCTGGGTCACTCTGTTGTGCCCTCAGGACAGAATCCTTTGTCAAATCCAAAGGAAGAACGACTTCATCCGTGGCCTCTGACTTGCCAACACAAGATGGGCAAGAGTATTTGTCCACCTCCTCCGCCTCTTGAGAACCAATATGGACACAAACCTGGTGATACCACTTATCACAATCATCACATTGTACCCAACTAACCGACTCATCATCCGGGGAAATGCAATCACTGGCTGCACATAAGTCCTTTTCATGTCCGTCACAGACTCGATCCGACAAAACCCTGTTTACAACTCCCACCAAAGGGGCAACACCTTTCTCAGGAATCCTAGATAGTGCGTCCGGGACATGATGTTGCTTTCCAGGCCTGTATATCACCTGAAACCGAAAATCCTGAAGCCTCAGAATCCAACGAGCAAGTCGCCCATTTTGCTTCTTCTTCCGAAATAACCAGCAAAGTGCCTGGTGGTCCGTTATTACACGACACTCTCTACCTTCCAGATATGGCCGCCATTTCTCTAGGGCCCATACTACAGCCAAACACTCCTTCTCAGTAGTACTATAATTCCTTTCTGCAGCAGACAAAGACCGACTCGCATAGGCGATAGTTCTCGTCCCAGACGGTTGCTGCTGGATCAGGACTGCACCGACCCCAACATTGCTGGCATCTGTGTGTACAGCAAACCTGGATTCTTCATCAGGGTAGCCTAGTATTGGCTCAGTGAGGAGGCTCTCCTTCAAGGCCTGAAAAGCACGAGTGCAGTCAGCAGTCCAATTCCAGGGAACACCTTTCTTCTTCAATCCATGAAGAGGTGCAGCAACCTCTGAGAAGCTAGGAATGAATTTCTGATACCATCCGGCCATCCCAAGGAACCTCTCTAATTCCTTGATCGACCTAGGTTGGGGATAGTTAACAATGGTAGACACCTTCTCGGGGTCCATCTTGAGTCCATTTGAGCTGACAACATGGCCAAGATATTTCATTTCTTGGCAGGCAAACTGACATTTCTCAGTATTTACGGTCAGACCCGTTTGTCGTAAGCAACAAAAGATCTCCTGGAGATCAGAGATGTGCTGCTCAATATCCGGAGAGAAACACACAATGTCGTCCAAGTAGACATAGCAATTTCGCCCTATCAGGCCATCAAGCACCTTGGACATCAACCGTTGGAAACTGGCAGGACCATTCACCACACCAAAAGGAAGGACCTTGAAGTGGAATAGACCCCTATGACAAACAAAGGCAGTCTTCTCCTCATCCTCATCTGCAACACCCATCTGCCAGTATCCACTGCGCAGATCTAATGACGGGAAAACCGAGGCACCATGCAGAGAGCTCAAAATGTCATCCACTGTAGGCATGGGGAAGGCATCAATCTTTGTAATTGTATTCAATTTTCGGTAATCGACACACATCCTGTACTTCCCGTTCTTCTTAGGGACCATCACTACAGGAGCGGCCCAAGGTGAATCTGAAGGCTCAATCTTCCCCATGTCCAGAAGCTTATCCAACTCTTCATCAAGAGCTTGTCTTTTCTCAGGACTCACCTTGTACGGGTGAGAGCGGATGGGAGAAGCCCCTCCTACATCAATTCTATGAATAGCCATGTTCGTATGACCAGGTACCTCACTAAACACATCTGGGAAGTCTTGAAAAACCTGATCTAATTTCTGTCTATCTGCTTCAGTTAGATCAAGTTTCTTCATCTCATCCTCAGCTTGGAGATGAACATCGACTTCTTCTTCAACATGTGACATCTCCTGCCCTCCATTCAACGAGAACTTAACTGGCCGCTCATTGGCCCCATTGCTACTTGTGCTATAACTACGACTGCCAAAATCTATGATAAGTTTCACCTTTTCAGCAAAGTCAGCACCAAGGAGGACAGGTACTGGGAGCCTACCAACCACATGAAAGACCTCAGTCGCAGTGCTGCCTCCTAGACCCACTTGCAGGGATGCTAAACCATCAGGCACTAAGGCGGTTTCATTGATCATGCCTAACACCCCTTCAGTTTCACGAGTAACCTCTACCCCTAACTCCTTACACAATTCAAAAGTGACCAGGGAAACCTCTGACCCCGAGTCCAGCAGGGCTTGGGTCTTCACCACTCTGTCATCTAGACCCTGAACAACAACATCTGCAATTGTAGCATCACCCCTATCCTTTGCAATGAAATTGCACCTTGGTGACGGTTCTCGAGTAAAGCCCTGTGGAGGTCCTCCCTGGAAACCCGACCCTGTGGCCCCCGGAGGTACCGGACAGTTGGCAATTCTGTGCCCGAGCTGGCCACACCGGTAGCAGGCAGCATTAAAGGATCTACGTCCCGTGGGGTTACTGCCTGCACCTGTCCGTCGTGGAGTGGAGGGATCACTCCCTGGGGTTGTGTTACCCGCATTCGCCCCCCTCTGGATTACTAATTCGTCCGCCTTGCGCGCAACTACCATGAGAGATGTGGCTTGTAGCTCCCTTAGTTTTAACCTCAATACTTCATCGGGTACTCTCTCTAAGAATTGGTCAATCATGACCAGATTGAGCCCTTTAGAGACTTCAGGCATCTCTACTGCCTCCTGGGGTATCTCAACCCACTCCAAAAAATAATCTTGCAAATGACTAGCGAATTCTTCATAACTTTCATTGGTCTTCTTATGTTCTTTTTTGAACTTTATTCTGTATGCCTCCGGAGTGAGGTGGTACCTTCTCTTTATGGCCAGGACAACATCATCATAGTTGTTTTGTTCTCTAGTACTCAGGGCGTGGAATGCCTGCTGAGCTCTTCCAGTAAGATATGGTTCTAACAGCCGAGGCCATTCACCCTTTGGCTTGTTTGCTGCCAGGGCTAGTCGCTCAAAAGTGCTAAGGTAGCACACCATATCATCATCGTTACTTAGCTGATGTAATCCCTTTAACGGAGGACCAGTTTGTGCAGAGCTACCGATTGCAGCAGACAGTAAGGATTTGCATAGTTTCTCAGTCTCATGATGATGAGAATCTTCTAGGTGCTTCATGACCCGCAAAAGGTCATCCACACCCACACCTGTATTTTTTGGTTCATCCTCTACCAGCTTAGGCAAATCACATAAACATGAGATCCGCTCTTGCTTGGTCTTTACAGCATTGGTATCAATATGATTCAATTCACACAAGTGTGCTATGTGCTCTGCTGTAAATCTGCCGAGATATGCTGATCGGTCTGTCATGGTTAACTTTATCTTTTATTGAGCACTGAATATTATACTAGACTAATCTAGATCTAGTTTAAATTTAATTTAGTGACCTATCGAACGTGTGTGTTTTAGTGTATGGTGTATGGTTAGTGAGAGTGGTCTAGACTTCTAAATCTACTATTTTAATCAAACTTTTATTTATTTAGTCTAGTCTAGACCCTATGTATTTATTTATTTTTCTATTTCATTTTTAATGTTACTTCAATACTAGACTACTTGTTTAATAGCTACCTTAACTTTGATTAGTCTATCTGTAGAGTCTAGACCTAGATCTAGACCCTAGATCTACTGCTAAATCAACAAGCACTAGTAGGCCTATAGGCCTGCACAATAAGTGGGGCAACAGTCACACACTGCATGAAACAACCGTGTCAATTAATTTCTCACCCAATCCTTAGATTTCCAAAAAAGCCATAGCACAAAGAAATCCCTGCCGATTACGCCAGTATAAGGGGGTTCACTATGTACAGACAGGAAGGATTAGATCTCAGACAGGAATTGGGTTAAAACACCTTTAATAAGGCGACAACGGCCTTAGAAACAACAATCGGAATCTTACAGACAATCGTCCATTTTCCCCTCTCTCGATCCCTCTCCCGATCATATCGGTATCGGTATCGGTTATCACGATATCAATCCCTATAAATGCATGAGGTAAAATGACATTTTGGGGGATTTTGGGGGCAAAACGCTACGACCTGAAATGGCCGTGGCGTTATCAAGGGAATGTGTATAGACGGTTTCCGTCTCTAAAGAGAGAGCCGACCCTACCCCAATAAGAGGCTAACGAACGAAAGAGACGGAAAATTCGGTCTACAGTACATTATGAAAATGGTCTATTCCTGAAAGTTTGATCAGCCCGCACTTATCTTATGACATATTTCATTTGTGTTTCTCGTCCTCTATACATGTAGATCACTTTTGTCTTGATTTTGATTCCTCTAAAAGTAAAAGGGGCAGAGTTTATTCCTCCCCCCCCCTCCAACACTGGGTGTAAGATTCCATAAATGGTCTTCTTTTTTGGGGGGGGGGGTGGGGTTAAGGCTTATACAAGCCAAATTTACCAATGTTTGAAAGTTTTCTGAATTTATCTAAGAGTACAAGGGTTGTTGTTGGGTAAATGTTCACTCTTGAGTCTTGATCCAAGCTGAGTGAACTAGCCTTGCAGCATGCGAGTAGAAAGGTTTGGTAACTTTTGGAGGACTTACATTTGTAGAAAGTTTTATAGCAGGTTGAAAGTATACAAAACCACATCCAGATTTCCGAGGAAGTGATAGTTTGCCATCGCCTGAAACCAAAAGGTCATTTTTTGCTTTATATTCCACATCGGAAACATTTCACTGGTAGGGTCTACGAGAAAGACAGTCTAAATGTTTAGGCCTACATGTAGTTCTTGACTTCTAAGTTCTACTGCTAGCACTAGACTAGGCCTAGGCCTACTAGATCTACTACCCGATTTAATTTTAATTTTAAGATAGCAATAAGCATGATGGAGTGGGGGGGGGGGGGTTGATCTACTTACCAACAATGCTATTCCAAATAGGCTAACTCCATGAAAAGTCCAAGTCAGAAAAGTCCAATTGAAACTTTGTGAACTCCAAGAAAACTGTAATTAATGATGATGAAACACTAAACGAAACAGTGTAAAAGTCAACATTCTAAACACACACACACACAAGGACTAGATCTAAATCTAGATCTAGACTAGATCTAGCCTAGACATCTAGTCTAGTTGTAACTTGTTCATGTCTGTTTCACTGACAGGAATATGATGTTTTACGCCGGCTTTCCCCTCCTCCTTGAGTTTCTGAACAACTGTTTTGAAAACTCGACCAGACTTCTCAAAGTTGATATTCTTAATAATGTCTAAGTCTCCCAAATTCAAAAAAATGTCGCTGCTGACCATACCTTAAAGCCTGTAGAGATTTCTTACTGTATGACTCCATTTCACAATTTCACACCAGCATAAAATCTCCCCAACAGTTGGTCTAGTGCTTTCAAGTCCATGTCGGACAGTTCGTCAACATTTATGTCTCTTGCAGCATCACAATGATCCTGGAATACTTTCAGGCTGAATTTAAGTTGTCGCTTTGTATTTTTGCTTTCGCTGTCCAGCAGAAAACTGTCTAATTCAGCATCACTTGGGAGCTCGAATCTTACTTGTTCCGCCATTTTAGAGCAACAATTATGAACACTAACACAGTAAACAACAGAAACAAACAGCTAGCAAACGAAATGTAGGCCTGCGCCTAGACTATCGTTTATAAAAATTAAATTTGTAATTCACGCCGCATCATCGCGGTGGCCGCGCCGTGATCGCCTGCTGCGTTGAACTTCAGTAAAAGTGCGTTGCCCTGTGTAGACAGGACTTCTATCTTCAGTGAAAGTACGTTGCCCTGTGTAGACAGGACTTCTATCTTCAGTGAAAGTGCGTTGCCCTATGTAGATAGGACTTCTATCTTCAGTGAAAGTGCGTTGCCCTATGTAGATAGGACTTCTATCTTCAGTGAAAGTGCATTGCACTTTGTAGATACATGTAGGAGCCTATCTACACAGTGTAACAAACTTTTTGCTTCTCCCAGCAATGATGGACAAACTATCTTTCATCACATGATTTACTTTTGACCAATCGTAGAGGAAGATTCTTAGTATGTGGAATATGATATTTAATACCCTTGTCAGTACCTATGTCTGGGAAAATGCATCCGTAGTATTTTCTTTCTCATTGCCCTTATGGTTGGTATGAGCATCAAATATGTTCTGTACTAGCAAGAAGCCTGCTTTGATTAACTGTCTATTTTCCACTAATATTCAGCTAGACATTTATTCTAGACGACATACTACATGTACCTTCATATTTTTCTGTCTTGTTTGTGATGTAACCATATGTAGAGCCAGTGGATCGATTCGGTGGATTGGACCCTGCCCAGCCCAGATTGGGTTTTGAAAAAGTCAAGGAATTAGAAACGTGAGTATTACATATATCAGCTGTCACTTACACTAAGTTACATGTACACTATTAGAACATTAAAGGTCCTGAGATGTAAATAATCATATCTGACTGATAAAAGTCTGTAAAACATAATTTAAAGGCACACTTGCAATAATAATGATGATATTAATAATAATAATAATAACAAAAACATAGCTTATCTTTCATGGCCACGTTCAATTTGCATATATTCTCACCTGAAATATTTAAATAACCCATCTTCAGCTGAATGAAATTAGAAATGCACTTTCACCCTCAGTATCTTTATATGTACATGTATGCTGTTTAATTAATTCTGTGCAGGGAATCGTGACGTGCAATTTTTTTGTCTTTCTTTTTTCAATTATTTGTTTAATCCTGGACTTTATCAGCCTCAGGTGTACATGTACAGGTGTATGTGTAAAATAATACTTTGAAATAATTCATCACTACTTGTAAAGGTTTGATTTAAATATTATATATATTTTGTACTTTGCAGAGCCAATGAAAATGTCAAGAAGCTTTTCAGCTTGGACTTTGGAACAGGGGTAAGTGTTATACTATAGCACACATGTGTATTATGCCATGATGCTCCTGGTGCTCCAACATTATTACCCTGGTCATAGCTGGCGGCTAAATTTGTGGCAAATGTTGATTAATATCTTGCCCAAAGATGTTGCTGCTGGGCTGGGACTTGAACCCTTAAAGAGATTGGGTATCTTTGTCTCAGATTCTCAACAAAATCCTGGATTTAGCTCATGCTGCAATCATAATTATAAACCTTTAGGTCAGTCAGGAATTCCATGACTTTTACAAGCCGAATGCCTGTCTGATTATCAAGATATTTGTGATTGTAATTCTGTTAGCCTTCACCAACTGTAGTTATTTGCTTACTACATGCAAGCAACATACATGTATTGTAAAACTGTTTTCCCAACTGTTTTTTATAACATTACCTTAAATTGAGAAAAATGAGGTATGGTAAAACCGGTCACTCAAAGATCTGTACTTTTTTGAAGCACTTCATGATCATTTTTGAAGCGCAATTTTTGTTTAGGGCTTCAATTTACACCATAACACAGACACTGGTATTACGTAGGGCCATGCATCTCAGATTTGTAAAACAGGAAGCATTGTTAAACAATGAATGCCTTTAACCCTTTGAATGAGAGTCAAGTGTATGAACCTGTATACCATGACAAATCCACGTTAGATTATTGTACAAGACAGATGAAGAGGTGGTGTGGTATAGTGGATAAGTCACCAGACGGTAGAGGTTTAGGGTTCAAATCCCTGCCACATTATTAATGTCCTTAAGCGAGACATTAAGCTGCCCTTGCCCCACGTGACCTAGGTGAAAAAAATGGGTACCGCAGAGCTGCCAACCATTACGTTTAGTCGTTTTTTCCTGAATTATTAGGTTTTTTCTCAAAATTACGGTTGTACGTTTTGTCTTTATAAAATATATATATATATTTTTCTATTTAAAAAAAACAAAAACATTTTGCACGTCAACCAAATGCCCTAAAATGTTGATCACTACTTCAATAGAAAAATAAGGCTTAAACATACTTCAAGAGAAAATTATTTCTAAAAAAGAATCATCGCCGATAATCCCCCTCCCCCCAAAAAACTAAACAAACAAACTACCTACCGGTACTTGTAAATAAACTATAGGTTCTAATATGAAAATAGCAGTATGAGGAATGGACATTTCTGCATTGGAAGTGTGTCGCGCGTGGTTGTAATTTTTTTTTTAATTCCTTTTTTTTGCCATCATGGTTCCTTTTTTTTAGTTGCACAAGGTCGGCAGCTCTGGTACCGGTAGAGTGCTTCTCCACCTTGCCAGGGTAGTGGGGCCATAGCCATGTAGTGATAGCCATTACCTCTTTTGGAAGGGCGTAGCGATGTTTCAAGGGAGTCACGCTTCAGTTTCCATGTGCAGAAGGCCATAATTCGCTGACACCAGACTTGGTGGGAAAACCATTAATGGGAGTACAAATCTGCACAAAGCAAACCCGTTGGCCAGTCAAGAATTACCCCCTTATCTCTCCGAGAGTCTAGCTGTGGATCCCGCTTCGGATCGGGTGAGGGAAAAGCAAAGCATTACCGTACATAAGGTCGAATGGTCATAAAACTCAAGGCTAACTCTGGTGATTGACAACACCTGTTATTGGGTAAACACCCGAACGGTGTTGAATTCCCCATGAGAGCTAACTACTGAGTGTCTTTAAAGTAAATACAAGAACAGAACACCATCATCACTGATTTTATGTGACATGAGGCCTGTTTTCATCAGCTCGAGATTGCCAAATAATCACCTACAGTGTATTTTAACTATCCCAATCGCAAATTATCCAGCTAATTTGCATCTTCATCAGCCCGCAGTTGCAATTAGCGGGATATTGGTCGAGATAATCATCCCAAGATATCTTGGGCTAGCTTGCACAATATCCCGCTATTTGTCTGGTGCGTCTTCACCAGCCCAAATCAGAAATAGCGGGATATTCGGCAATCTCGAGCGGATGAAGACATACCTATTGTTCATGAGCAGAAGAAGAAAGAGAGATGCATGTGCATTGTCTGTACTCTGTGGTCTACTTGTTGTCATATCATTATGTGTGAGACATAGATATGTGGTTAAGACTACATGCCTACTAAATCCTCCTTTACTTGGATGTGGTATACCGCTGCCAAACATAAAATCACATTAGCATAGGCCACTGCACGTTATATGTATCTTATAACAGTGTAACCACATAGATAAGTGTGTATGCTGAGGAACTTGTTTTGCATGCAGCTACTTTGATAGTTCGTTCACCATTCTTGCCATTCACATACACATAGAATGGTATTTATATGGCTGCAGTGTTCTTATTTAAAGGTATTACAAAGTTTTAGTATGGGTTCATGAATTTGGTTCAAATTAACATATTGGAAGCATATGCGTTCCTACAATATTCATTGATCGTTGTCCCGGTTGAAATCGAGTCTAAAGTTATGAAATTATAAATAATAAACTCTTTATGTTGTAAAGCTCCCTCTCAAGGTCAAGATATCAATTTAGCTATGAAACAATGTTTCTTGACTAAAATCGACCGATTAGCTATTCCCGATTGGAAATTATATCACAACTACATATTCTGAGATTTTCATGGTCGCGCAGCTACCATTGTACGGCCGTAGGCGCTATTTGAAATTTATCAAAATTTACCGGGAGCACCGGTAAATTTTTATATTCAATTTTTCTTGAAAACAGAAGTGTTTTAGGGGTTAATTTTTTTAGTGCTTATAATACATCCACAGGGGCATCCAAATATATCAAAATTGTAAAGATTCACTATCCATCCAATTTTCAAAATTTCCCAAAACTTTGTATTACCTTTAAGTGATTAACCACTTTTTTCCTTCAACAAAGCTTAATTTTTTACTCAAAGGACCATACCGGTAGTTTATATATATATATATATATATTTATATTCTTATATTTTAATTATTATATTATTGTACCAATAGCCTGACAGGGTAATTTGTGAACAGCTAGAATGTATAAAATCAACCTTAAAAAAGAATTGTGACATATTTTTTGGTAATGGATAAAGATATGACAGAAAAAAATAAATAACAGAAAACCCAACAAAGAGAACCCAGACATGTCTGACTTGGGCTCTGTGGCAGCCCTATTATATTCAAGCATGTACAAGTAGTCTACTCACAATGTCATTCTATGGAAATATTATTTGAAGCTGATATTTTGAATATGGTATAGTGACATGGAAGCCCTGATAAAGGATAATAATTTGTATGGTGACTGGTCCACTTTAAGACAAAGACAGAATGGAGGATTTTAAATCCCCACTGCACTACTTATAGCTACTTGCACCCTCTATATAAGCAAACAATGCCTAATTGGTGACCATTGGTCTCCCATTGTCGCCTTTTTCTTATGTTAATTGAGAGCTGATTTGATGAGATAACCACCTGTCAGTGACCATACAGGGTAGACTAATCCCTCCTTGCCAAACTAGTGCAGAAGGGCTTTAATTCAGAGGTATTGCATTGTCTCTTTTTTCAATATTTGTGATGCTTTTTTGTTTCTTGTTCCAGAATGATTTACATAATATGAGGAGGAAGCTCTCACAGGACTTTGTCCGAGACAAACCAGATGAGAAAGATGACCTTGCTGTCAAAAGTAGGTTATAACTTATACTAATTAGCTGTGGCATCTTCAAGTTGTACATTGTGTGAATTATGATTTTATTTCAGAGCCATCTATGAATATTCATGAGTGTTGTTATTGACAGGGTTCAATTTGTATACCGGTATTATGTGAATGATGATTTACTTTCAGACCATGAATATTCATGAGGGGTGTTATTGATAGGTTCCAATTTTTACATTGTGTGAATCATGTTAATTTAAATACCACCATGAATATTCATGTGTGGTTTTATTGATAGGTTCCAAGTTGTACATGGTGTGAATTATGTTAATTTGAGTACCATGAATATTCTTGAGTAGTGTTATTGATAGGTTCCAAGTTGTACATGGTGTGAATCATGCTAATTTGTGTACCACCGTGAATATTCATGAGTAGTGTTATCGATAGGTTCCAATTTTTACATTGTGTGAATCATGTTAATATAAGTACCACCATGAATATTTATGTGTGGTTTTATTGATAGGTTCTAAGTTGTACATGGTGTGAATTATGATTTTATTTCAGAGCCACTATGAATATTTATGAGTGTTGTTATTGACAGGGTTCAATTTGTATATTGTGTGAATGATGAATATTCATGAGGGTGCTATTGATATGGTTCAAGTTGTACATTGTGAGAATTCTGATTTTCACATTTTGTACCGTGAATTGCCATGTAAATGGTTGTCATGTAAATGGTTGTCATATTAATTTAAAATTTGTTCAAGCAAGCATAGATTATTTTTCACACTCCATAATTTGATTTAAAAAGTTTGTTTTCATTGACAATCTGCCATGCATGAAGTCTTTCGTCTAGTGTATGTCTGATTCCAATGAAATGGAGTTAAGACTTTTGTCAATTCCGTTTGTTTCTACGGCAAGAAGCCAGTGAAAACAAATTTGTTTACCGGTAATAAAATTATGGAAATGCAAGCATCACTTTAAACCAGGCCTTCTCAACTGGCGGCGCGCACGCGCCACTTGTGGCGCTTGCGGTCAGTCGGAGTGGCGCGCGACTGTTGCAACAACAACAGAAAAAACAGAAAGAAAGAAAGAAAATATATATTTTAGAATTAAATACTCGGCTAAATCAAGAAGTTGCAGTCGAATTTGAGCCCAAAATGCCTGCTTAACAAACAGGAAGAAAGGTGGAATTTATCGTTTTTTACCATTTTATACAACTCTAAACCTAATCTCTGAACAATAGTAAGCTAACGATGGGCTACCAATTTTAACATTGCCAATCTCTGGAAACATCTTGTTTTTGCTTGTTTGATTTTCACTTTATTTTGACATTTCCTGTGTTTATTGCACCCAAAAAACTACATATAAATTTACCTCCAGAGTAATTGTACCCAGGAATTGTACTAATTTGTTCATGCACATCAATGTGAAATTAGGATTTTATATATTGATGAATGAAATGGTGTTAAAAATGCCCCATTTGGGCCTTTAGAAAGCCCTAAAATCCACCAGCTTCAGAGGGCTTTGCCCCCTGCTACCCCCCCCTCTCCCCCGTTGGGGCTTTGCCCCTCGACCTCATCCCTCGCAGCACAGTCAAACATACAGGGTGGCATTTCAACTACAAATTATTTTCGTTTTGGCACTTCTAATAAACTAGTTGAGAAGGCCTGCTTTAAACAAACAGAACTTTGTCATTCCTTGCTCATATTTCCTGATTGAGGTGTCATATGAAAGAGCAGAAAATTAACTTTCTAGAAATGTGCATTTTTCTTTGAAATTCAGATACCGCCTGCCAAATGACTTTTTGGTTTCCTTCCTTCAAATTGCTTTTAATCACTCATACGTGAAATATGTATCATATGAGTTGCATCAAATGAAAGAGGAGGATCTAAGCTTTACAAATATATGTCATTTACTAATTATAACTGTGATTAAGTTATGATAAAACATCAATAATTCTCGGTTTCGTTTTTTCTGGGATGCACTGTATATGCACATATATGTAGAGAGAGAGAGAGAGAGAATCGATCCTACCACAAATACCATGTTCAACAGTAGATTCTTCCCTGACTGGCTCCCACACTGTGGAAGTCAGCTTACGTGAACAAACTATAACAGGGAAGATGATAAGACAAGGTTTCTTCCAGCTTCATAGAGAATGTACAGCAATGTCAACAAACTCCTTATTTTACTAAACTAATGTTCAGGTTTCATGAACTCCTCTGATGATTGGATGAGATCTATGTTGGCACCATCATTATATGTTACTTATACTTTATTGGTTATTGGACTTTCTAGTTCTCGGCCCATAGAACTTGTATGGGAATTGGAAGTGCCTTTGCCAGATATGCCGATGGCCGTTTTTGCCCTCTATGGCCAAATAATGTAGTTGCGGAAGCGAGAATTCTTACAATATCTTAAGGTCGTATTCATGGAAAGAAGAAGAGGGGAAGACCTCGTAAAGGCTTTCTAGATGATTTAATCACAGAATGTGGAGCAACAGGGTATGAAACGCTGAAACGGATGGCTCAAGACCGAGGAACTTGGAGAGACACTTGATATAACATTTTGATTGGGTCACTGAACCTGTCATAAACTGACAGATCACTATTGATGATCTTATATTGTGTTATTTTGACAGTTGCCACTATTACGGAGCACATCAGGGCCCTGGCACCACATGTGGAAAACAACAAAAAGGTAAAATAGTCTTCACTCATAAAGTTGAGTTTTAATAATAATAATAATAATAATAATAGGCATTTGTATAGCGCCGTCTATCTAGACAATTCTATTCTGATGCGCACAAGAAAAATAGAAAGAATGAGAGAGTTTAGATGAGTGTCATAGTGCCAAGTACAGGTATTGTTACAAAAGATAAGATTTCAGCTTGGATTTTAGTGAAACATGAAGGAAACTGTCAATAGTTGATATGGATAGGCTCATTATGTACATGTAGCACAATAGTATATTGATAGGTATGGAAATGATCAGAATTATACTGAATCGACTCAGTATCACTGAAAATAATATATTCATGCCCACATTACTCCTTGACAGTTTTAAACACTTGGTTGTACCGGTAGTTGGTGCAAATATGTGAAATTAAATCTTATTACAAAAAGAACTTAGGATGTATATATATATATGGCACTATAAGACAGTCATATCATGATTTTCATCTTCATACTTCACAGAGCATACAAGACATGAAATTTGGTTTGTTTGATTACAAACTAGGTGCTATGGAACCAATTGCAAAGACTTTCCAAGACATCAACCTAAGACAATTTTATTAGCCTTTTGAGTCTTCTTTTGAAATCTACGAACACAATGACAATGGTACAAAATGTAAACATAGTATGTATCAGTACTTTACCAATATACAGGTAGTAGGGGATTGAAATGGCCATTGAGTTTGTTTTTCTGTAATTGTTAGTCTTTGCACTCATGTTTTTAATGGAATGATCTACATTAATCTCTTTCCTAGGATTCGGTCAACAAAGTGCGGATGCTGAATGCGATAGACCGCCGCCGGAAGATGCTCAAGTACCTGCGGAAGCGGAACTACGAGCGCTTTGAGCGGCTCCTGGTGGAGCTGAATCTGACCTGGACCCCTCCTCCAGAGTTCTACAGGAGGAAGACCAGGCGCTCCATGGAGAAGAAGGCCACAGTCCAGGAGGCCTATGCCAAGCGGACGCTGGCTCTGAAGGAGTTTGAGACGAGGTGGAGGCAGGAGCAGCTCCTGGAGATCGCTCATTTGAAGGAGGAGCTCGGGAAGGAGCTGACTGAGGAGGAGCAGGGTCTGCTGACAAAGAGCAGGGAGGAGACGACTGTGTAGCTTGGAAGAGGAGCCATCTTGATAGCTGGACTTTAGGGAAAGGACTGTGTGTGAAGGAGAGGGAGTGTATGAATAAACTTTGAAATATTACATAATCACTGATAGATTGAGATAGATTGACCTGGGAGTGATCAGTGTAACTTATCACAAATTGTCATCAGTGTTTTCATCGGCCTTTTATAGGCAATTGATTTCAAGCCCAAAATGAAATTCAACTGGTCCGATTAGGTGAAGCTGTCAGGTCTGAAAACTGTTAAACACAAGGAGAACGTATCATTAATTCTAGTTTTTACTTCGAAGTACCAGAAAAAGTTTCCCAAATGTATTTGGGACTTTGTAGTGTCACTGAGCAAAACAAAGAGAAAGGAAGTATGGCTTGGATTTTTGACATTCAGCTTAGACATTTGCTTGAAGCATGCATCTTGTTTGCATTAGTTTTTTCCTAATACTTTGCACACTCTTTGCAAGTCATTACAGAAATCCTCTGTTGAAAGCCAAAAGGGCGTTAAATCTACATAAACTATATAGGCCAATGCTCTTTTTGCTCTCAGCAAAGGAAATGGAGGTATAGTGTTATCTAGAGTTATAATGATAACACGATATTGTTGCTTTGATTACAGAAAGAAAGTAAACTTAACACTGAATTTTACAAGATGAACTGCTCAGGTTAAATTGAACATTTGCAGCAATCTGGGTTATGTTGATGCCCAGAATCTAAGTCTGGATTTCCTAAAATTCCATGAAGGTGCTCATGTATAAAGACCATCAATTATAATTCCAGATCAATTATGGAAATAAATTACACTGTAGTGTGACACCATCTAACTGACTGTTGGTTTTAGTTAATTATGTAAAAAAAAGCTGATTAATATGCAAAATAAAATGAGAGGAAATCAAATTTGTTATCTTCACTGCATGCATGACATGCAGTCTCTCAACTTGAGTAGGTTATTTGTGTTTTTCAGTCATTTAGAATATCACCACATCTGTTGAAAGGTATTTTGCATCCTCTCCAATATCAGCCCATCTACTGCTTCATAAACAAACCAGAAATAATTTAATCCAGTTTCTCTTGTATATGCAATCCACTTCTTTGTAGGACTCAAAGACTCGACAGGATTCCTTGCTCTAGATTTGTTTGTCTGTTCTTGGATAATATAGTTATTATCAATAATGTTGAGCAAAGATGCATTAGATGATACTCCATATATAGAAGTATTAAAGACAAAATACATTTGTTTAATACATTTGATTGATAGATTGTTGTCTCTTCTCATATCCTGAGATCAACTTCTACATTTTCTATCATTATCCCTAGAAGATTACTGAATACCAGATCAATCAATCAATTCTGTGGAGACAGACTGAGGGAGAGGGATAGAGAGAGAGAGAGAGAGAGAGATGAAGAGAGAAAGAGAGAGAGAGATGAAGAGAGAAAGAGAGAGAGGGAGGATTTGAGAAGGGAGGGAGAAAGAGGAGAGAGAGTAGAGAGAGAGAGAGAGATGAAGAGAGAAAGAGAGAGAGGGAGGATGTGAGAGGGAAGGGAGAAAGAAGAGAGAGAGAGAGTGTAGAGGAGATATACACTATCTCCTCTACACTCTCTCTCTCTTTAACCCCGTAAAGGTGGGAGGGAGAGACACAGAGAGAAATAGTAAGGGATGGGAAGAAGGTAGAGGGAGAAGTGGGAGAGAGAGAGAGAGAGAGAGAGAGATGGGAGGTAAAAAAAAAAGAAAGGAGAGGAGATACCAGGAAAGGAAGATGAGGGGAAGTTGAAAAACGAAAGGAGGAAGGTAGAGATAAAGAGAGAAATAGTTGGAGAGAGGAAGGGAGGTAGAGAGAGAGAGAGAGAGAGGGAGAAAGAAGAGAGATAGAGAGTGTAGAGGAGATATACACTTGGGTGAGAGGATGGGAGGTAGAGAGAGAGAGAGAGAGAGGGGGGATGTGAGTGGGGAGGGAGAAAGGAGAGAGTGTAGAGGAGATATACACTTGGGTGAGAGGATGTAAGAGGAGAGAGAAAGAAAAAAATAGTTAGGGATGGGAAGAAGGTAGAGGGAGAAATGGGAGAGAGAGAGAGAGATGGGAGGTAAAAAGAAGAGAGGAGATACCGGAAAAGGAAGATGAGGGAAGTAGAAAAATGAAAGGAGAAAGGTAGAGATAAAGAGAGGAAGGGAGGTAGAGCGAGAGAAATGAAGAGAGAGAGAGAGAGAGAGAGAGAGAGTGTGTAGAGAAGATATACACTTGGGTGAGAGGATGGGAGGTAGAGGGAGAGAGAGAGAGAGAGAGAGAGAGAGAGAGAGAGAGAGAGAGAGGGGGGAGAAAAGAAAGGAGGTAGAAAAATAGATTGAGATAGAGAAGATAAAATGAGATTATCGGGTAGAAAAGAACTGATGACAGGGGTATCATGATGATTATCTGCTCCATGATAGATTGCGATAATGGTTGATTTAATTGTAATCGTGGGTGGAGGGATTCGAAAATAGGTTTGAGAGACAGACAACATCTTATTTATCCCTATTTTTGTAATATTTTAACTACCACCTGACATTTCCCCCAGCTCTGTCCCTACCTCTCTCTGTGTGTCTGTCTGTCTCTCTGTCTCTCTCTCTCTCTCTCTCTCTCTCTCTCTCTCTCTCTGTTCCTCTCTATCTCTCCCCCTGACTTGCCACTAAATTAACAAGAATAAGCTCATTAAGCCCTTGTTTTCATGGTGGATATATAACATACGTTTTTGTATTTAAAAAATGTATAATATGTATATAATTGATGTCATATATATATATATATATGACATTAATAAACAATAAACCTTGTTTATTTTTAACCATAATGAGTTCAAAACATAAACAATCATCGGATAAACAAATATTACATATCTTGTTATGTTTACATGACGATTTGAAAACAACACTTAAAGCCGACTTATCATAAGTGTAAATATCACAAAATACTTTCGCCGGATACATATAGATATATGGACATAAAATCTTTTTAAAACCAAACACAATTTTCTTTATTTAGATTTTCCCAGCCTCGTTTCTCACTCTTTCTCTCACTCTCTTTCTCTCCTTCTCTCTCTCTCTTTCTTTCTCTTCCCCTGACTTGCCACTAAATTAGCCATCAACAAGAATGAGCTCATTAAGCCCGTGTTTTCATGGTGGATATAAAATATATGTTTTTAATTATAAAGAGCAAAAACATATATATATATAAATATATAACATAAATAAACAATAACCTTTGATTTTTAACCGTAATGAGCTCCAAAACATAAACAATCAACGGATAAACAAATATAACATATTGTTATGTTTACATGACGATTTGAAAACAACACTGAGAGCCGACGAGTCATAAGTGTAAATATCACAAAATACTTTGGCCGGACATGTATATATATATAGGCATCAACTCTTTATAAACCAAACACACTTTTCTTTATTTAGATAATGCAGATCAAATAATGATTTGTTCGGAGAAATAACGAATGCATTAGGGAATCACCTTTATAAACAATGCTAAAAATATCCGCACTTTCCTTGAGGCCATTCAAGTAATTATAATCCGAGTTTTCGGACAACAAAAAGTAACAATAATATTGAAGGATTCAGTTCGTACACTCTCTCTCTCTCTCTCTCTCTCTCTCTCTCTCTCTCTCTCTCTCTCTCTCTCTCTCTCTCTCTCTTTCTCTCTCTTATTTCTTCTTTATTAAGGCAAAACGACGCCTATATGAAGTTGGAGAGATTGTTTTTTCACATGACATGACTCCATTACTGGTTATATGTCTCTCAGAAACTAAGGCCTTTAACAGAAATGCCTAGTTGGTCTAGCAGTACTGCCCGTGGTATGGTCAGCTCTCCTACAAACTGACTCAGGCGGACCCCGATCGTTTTTTTTTACAGACTTAAATTAATCAGATATGATTATTTACGTCTGGTCGGGTCGCCTGAGTCAGTTTGTAGGCGAAGACAGAGAGCTGCCCAAGTGAACGTGCCGCTAGACCAACTCACATCTCACATCTCGATCCCCAATAGGATGTTCTTTCAACTGACAATAAATGATGAAAAAGCCCACTAAATAATTTCATCTGAACGAGAACTCTGCCTTCTCTTTGAGAACAATTTAAATCCCGTCGTTTCCATGCAGAGGAGAATGTGTTTCATACCAGGGGCGCGGCGCCAGGTTATTTTGTTGGGGGAGCGAATGGGCGCGCCACGCAGGGAGTTGAAGATTTTTTTTAAAAATTGATGCATTAATGGCTCGATTTGGTGCATACTTTGTGCCATATTAGAAAGAAAAACAGTCATAAGTTCAACTAACATGAACAAGAACGCAGGGGGGGGGGGGGGGGGGGTTACCATATTTTTCAGAAGGGTTGTTATAGATGCATTTGTCGTTTCAATTGAACAATCAGCCATAAGGTTTAGGAGATACAAGTGATTAATTTGATTTTTTTTTTTTCAGTTGGTGAAAGTTTTTCATCGTAAACCAATGTTTGAACGTCCATCAATGTGAATGTAATAATCTGATCGCCCGATTTGGCTTGCTTTTTCTCTCTTTTTCTCTATTTTCTCAATCTTTATTTTCCCCTCTCTCCCCCGCCCTCCCTTACGTAATAATTTACATTTTATAGTTCTCTTTCTCCTGGCCTTCCTCCTTCTCGTCCCCTTTCTTTTTTTCTTCTCCTTCTTTTCGTTTCTTCTCCTTCTTTTCCTTTCCTTGTCCTCTTTCTCCTTCCCTTCCTCTTCCTTTTTTTCAAATGATAGGAAGGGCGGCCGCCCCCTACCCCCTAACCCCCCCCCCCGTGGCGCCGCCTCTGTTTCATACTCCTCAGTTCTGACACACATAGGATTCATTATAGTCATGGAAACGTCAAGAGATGTGGGCGAGAATAGACAATTCATCTTGATCGTTCAATGGCTGTCCTTTTGATCTCAACGTATGATTTTATGATTACGTATGTTTTTAAAGGGATCCGGTAACTTTGTCTCAGATTCTAAAACAGAACCCTGGATTTAGCTCATACTGCAATGATCATTATAAACCTCTAGGTCAGTCAGGAACTTCATGACTTTTACAAGCCGATCGCCTGTCTGATTATCAAGATATTTATGATTGGAATTACAAATTTTGAAAACCGTTTGCCAAACGGTTTTCATAACAGAAGTACAGTCTATTGGGGGAAACGAGTATGGTAAAACCGCTCACTCAAAGATTTTGCTTTTTTGAAGCACTTCTTGATCATTTTGAAGCGCAATTTTTTGTAGGGCTTCAATATTAAACCATATCACTGACACTGATAACACGTAGGGCTGGCATTTCAGATTTAACATTGTTCAACGATGCCTTTAATTTCTGCGAGTTACGTAACCATTCTATACCGTTTCCGGGAAGAATATTTTATCACTTTTTCGTAAATGTCAATGTAATTATGTAATCGGTAGACGCCAATAATCTGATAACAATGAATATTCCTATTTATATAATATAATTTTCTATTTATTCATACGCAGACATCAATGCATATCGACAGGCGCGTACGCAGGATTTTTTCAAGGGGGGGGGGGGGGGTTAACATTTATAAATCGGGCCGAAAATTTCGCAACGACTCAGCCAGCCGTAACCGGGGGGGGGGGGGGGGGGGGGGGGGGGGGGGGGTAAGAGGACACTTTTTTTTTTTTTTTGTATCGAAATTTGAAAATTTGACATTTTGCTCCGTTGGGGGGGGGGGTAAGGTCATCTTTTTGAGGTCAGCCTTGGAAAAAAAAAAAATACATTTTTTTTAATAAAAAAAAATAATAAAAAAAAAAATCCAAAAGGGGGGGGGGGGGTTTAGGGGAATTTAGGGGGGTTTACACACAAAAAAATACCAAGGGGGGGGGGTTTAACCCCCCAAACCCCCCCCCCCCTGTGTACGCGCCTGCATATCGATATGAATGCGTTAATAGCACAGTGATGAAACGTAAGCTTTTAATTGTTAAATGGGTCCTATTATTTGCTTAAATAATTTCACAGCGACGGTTTGCCATTTGTTTTCACTTAAATCTTACTTGGCACAGAGAAGTGTGACTTCTATTACGTAGAATTATTCCCTTTTTTTTTCTTTGTTTTTCTTTGCCTCATCAGAGGATTTATGGTTTACATTCAAAGATACAATAATACAAATCAAACTTACATAATCACAAAAGCATCATTATTGGCACGTAGAATTATTCTATTATTTGGAATGATTTTCTCTTACATGTTAGTTTCAAGATACACACAAATAACGCACACATTGCAGGAGATATGACAAATATGAATCTCAGATTGTTGATAGATAATTAAAGGCATTCGGTGTATTTCTATAAAACTGTAGAAGAGAGTGAATATATTATAGGCCTCAGGCAGGCTCACGGTAAGCCAGTGACGTACACAATTTAGCACGTCTGCAATGCCATTTGTATAGGAGGCGTCATTATCTTCGATTTGCGTGATTTGTATACCTCTGCTCATAAAGCCGGTGAAGGTCTGTATTGGTTATATACACATATATAAATAAAAGCAACATTTGCACTGTTCAGCCGGCTTGTTGATGTTTGTGTGTGTGTGTGGGTGTGTGGGTGTGCGTGTGTGTGTTTTAATAATGTTACTCTCACGTGAGTTTAATTGTTTAATCATGTTCATGTATAAACAATTAATGTATTAACAATTAAAAATGTTTATCTATTTTATTCAATCGTCTTGTGTTCTTGTTTGTATAAAACTTGGAGGAATAACACAAAATTACTATTTAAAAAAAAGAAAAAAAAGGGTGATGCGTCAAAGACCGCTCGAGTCACTTGCGCAGTCCTACGTCAGACTGAAAATAACGCCTCGTGTGCAGAGCCGGTAAAATGCCTGTCGCATATGATTGCATTACATTCTATTCACTTTGCCTTTCCCCTATATAGCTCTCAATAAATTCCTCCTTGATCTCTCTCTCTCTCTCTCTCTCTCCTTCTCCCTCTTTCTCCTTCTCCCTCTCTCTCTCTCTCCCTCCTTCTCCCTCTCTCTCTCCCCCTTTTCCTCTCGTTATCTCTCCCCATCTCTCTTGTTTATCTCTTTCTTTCTCCCCCTCTCTATCATTCGATTGAAGGGGGGGGGGCAGGTACCTGGCCATGTTTCCCCGTATCTTTGGCATTGTATCTCGTACGAGGATATTCTTGCCTCAAAGCTATACGTTTCTTGTAATTTAAGAGTTAAACGCACGCAATAATTTTACACGTGATAATCAGACCACATTGTGTTGGTTCTCTTGAAACGCGAAATTTGCACCCAAGTTGTTTTTGTTCCTTCATGTCCCTTTGCCTCTCAGCATCACTTATAACGTCTATAGCTGCAAAATTTTGTTTGACGAAAATCGCTTCAAAGAAAAAAAAGAAGAATAATTTATAGATAATACCTCGCTTTCCTCATCCCCTGGATCATGATGCTGAACCCATGTAACCATGGCAACAGAATTATTCATATTCCTGTTATAATCCCCTCTTCCATAACAGTTTCATTTCTAGGCTTTTTTTTTTGAAATATTAATATGCTCATTTGCGAGAAGAGGATTTTTTATCGAGTGCTTGATAAGAAAATCACAAATTGGATCCCCTACTAATTTGCACGGGGATTTAGTTTCCCAACATAATCAGAATTAAAAGGTAATCAAATTGCAAATTAGTTTGATCAAGTGCGTCTTCAGTCTGGATCGTGAAAGTAAGCTTCATACCACGCACGACTTTTGCACGCACATAATAACTTCTCTCTCGCCCCCCCCCTCTCTCTCTCCCTCTCTCTCTCTCTTTCTCTCTCTCTCTCTCTCTCTCTCTCTCCATCTCTCTCTCTCTCCCCCTCTCTCACTAATGGCAAATGGGCCTCATAAATAATGCCTACGCATTTCAAACACGAGTTATAACGAGTTGTGATAATCTAGACTCTTAGATAATCTAGAGCGTAGGTCAAAGGTACGGTAGAACAACATTTTTTCAGGTTAATGGCATTATGCACAAAAGTTTATTGTGTGATCGTTCAAAATGATACCAGGAAGTAAACATTAGTCAATGCTTTTCACTTTTTACTCATGACTTGTGTATGATTGTAGGAAAAAATCCCTCTTTTCCTGTAAGAGTTGTGCTAGTAGAAGAAATGATCTACCCTTTTAACAGTATGTTGATTGAACCTCTTTATGCCGACTTTTAGAGGGGCTTTAAGTGAATGAGAAGTAGAGAGACCAATCACTGCATTTTAGTACTGACAATCATAATTTTACGCGCTAATCATTTCATGGTTTCATTATAACGTATACAGATAATATAATTACATAGATAATAACGCATTCGAAATGACGCGTTATGGCAAGCTCCATTTCTGTGAATTCCGTCACCGCCTCGGGAAGGGATTCGAACACATAACAGTTTGATCGAAGAGTCTCGAGAACGAGTCGCTGTACCAAAGTGCCCTCATATATACAAAATTCAATATAGGTGTATATATATATATATATATATATACATATATATATATATATATATATATTTATATATATTTTTTTTTTACTCGGTATGGACTAAACACGGGAGTATGGTTTGGTTACGTTCCAAAATGGCAACGCAAAGTATACATGAAAATGCAAACGCAATTTGGAGAGTTATAACATAAATTTTGAATGTAATTCACAGTAACAATAAATAGTCGGACAATTTACACACACAAACATTTAACTCGGGTTTTCTGCATAACGAGTTTGTGTGCTTACGCTTAAGGGATAGTTGAGTTCTGTTGCAGTATATTTTTTTTTGTGAGATAATAAAAAACTGAGTGTCAAATTTGAAAGAACATAACATTTAAATGACAAAATCATTTTTGTTTGATCAAAATCAGTTCAGAGACGGCTGAAATATCTATAAATATAACGATTTTTATATTGTGTACCACCACAAATATTCGATAATTTGAAAAAGCCGTTGAAAAAACGAAATACGTTTTACGTTGTATTTCAGGCAATGCCGATGTGGGATTTTTTGTTGGCTTCGTCGTGTTGGTTCTATTAAGCCCAATCAGCTGGTCCATGTATTGCTATTATTAATCAATTAATTAATTAACGGTCACCACATTTTTTTGAAAGTGGAGCTGAATCGGTATGATCGTATTGGCTAAATTTTTACACATTTTGGGTTCTAAAATTACCTTTATAGCAATTTTAGGTCCCAAAAGGGCACTAGAAATATCATAAGTAAAAATAAGAGCAATAAGCATGCACTTTGAAGGCATTTGCGGTCTGAAAACAAAACTCAACTTTCCCTTTAATTGTTCACTTTATTACTGCTGCCTGTCGTTTAATCATGATGCATGCCTGTGGTATAATGTGTTATAATTTCATGCCGATATAACAGTTCGTAATAAGCACATGATACAAAACAATGACCCCCAAATATCCACAGATCTTTAAAGGGACTTAGTAAAATTGTTCAGGTGAGAGATAGTGGTGCTAAGGTAGTGACTTCAATGCTAGATAGTCAATTATATTAAAGATAATCTGAAAGTTTGAGTGAAAACGGGCCATTATTAACGATACAAATTGGGAAAAACCAATCTGATCGATTCCTTAATTCTCCCAACTATAATATTACAATTTAATTACTCTACATTACTCTACATACCATTCCAGACAAATTAAGTGTGTTATGTCTTTTTTTCATGGAAAAAACGGTTGGGAAAATTCAAAAACGGTTGGGATAATTAACTGTTGATCAATGTTAGAGGGTGCCTCACATCGACGCCTTCAAAGAAAACCATAGATATCTTTGTGGTTTGAGAATTGTTCAGGATTTTTCGCATGTCAGAGGGTTAGTACAGTAGAAGGAATATAATAAGTAACCTATTTGTATACAATTTCTTTTCTTCATCAACCTTCAACAATGTTACCGAGTCACTTTAAATCCAGGGCCCCATTTCACAAAACTTGACATGAGTGACAAATGACAGTTTTTGTTATAAGCTAGTAAAATCTTTGCTTCTGATTGGTTATCAGCAGATTTGTCACTAATTTTTGTCATTTGACATTGAAAAAAAGCATTGTGAAACGGGTCCCTAGATAAAATCCACTTTGTTCGTTTTAGAATAATCACTCCCAAAGTCACGAAGGTGATTATTTTATGAATACATTTTGTTTGCCCTGTTGAGAAGAATATTTTCACCTGTGTTCCACAAGACAGTGCATAAGGAATACGGATTAAATAACTTTCATGAGCACGTATCCAGTATTCGTCTACGTAGGATTTTACAATTGTGTATAATTTCTTTAAAATTGACCTTTATTTGCCCATGTTGTCTATACCTTCATTTAATAATAATCCTCCGTATTAAACATCACAATAATAATTACACCACTCCCGTAAACAAATAAAAAAATGTCAGAAATTCAACAGTCCATTCCTTCCTCTTAAAGGTACTATGTCCCTTTTGCAGCCAACCTCAAATTCTGTAGAACTTTACAGGAATTATAAATACATGTCATGTATGTCCTATCTGTGAAATTTAAACGTTAGCAGTGTCCTAATATTAAAATTATGCAAGGAAACCCGTTTAATTGCTAGATTTCACTGTCAGACACTATTGAGTGACTGACTGGCTTTTTTTTCTTCTTACATACATAAAATGAGCCGTAAAGAGTACATGAGCATTTGTCTCAGTACATCAATAACCCACTTCGTGTGATGGCCAAAATTAAACTGATTGAATCTTTGCGCAGCATAAAACGTATGACCATGCGGTACAATGGTCTGAAAATCAAGACTATTACTTATTGACTCTATAGCTCCGAAGTCGATTTGACAACTAATAGTCGTTATTTTCCCACTTGAAGACATTTTCAAGCTCAACCTTTTTTAGGGAAGTTCTAAATTAATATTATCTTTCAAATGCCGTTGGAATTTAACAATTTCATTTTTGGGGCCTGCAAATGGGACATAGTACCTTTAAAGGAGGGTTGTTGTTGTCATTCAATTTTCGAATTTGTCCTCAAACACTTAGTACATGTGCTCTTGAAATATAAGTAATTGGGTCTTATTTATCGAGGGTATATACTTCGGTATTTTCTGCTGCTCCTACGGGCCCTGTAGTTATTATTATCATCAATTTTATGATTGGCACCTTCATGGCTTTTTTTTTTGCCTGCTTAAAAAACGTAATTGCCCCACAGTTAAAAAAACAAAACATTAAGATGAACATGAGTAATACGATCGTGTCTATCACTAATAGGCCGATCAGAAATGATCAAAGTTCTGTTGGAATTCGGCCCCCGCCTGTTTTACCCGAGGTGAACGTCTACATCGCCATGCAGGGCGTGGTGACGATGGTGGGATCGGGATCGGTAAGGGGCTCAGTCTCCCTGGCGATGTCGATGGCGAGTAACCAGACGCGGACGACGGCGAAACCGAACTTGAAGAGTGATTACCATCAGGCGGGGAGTTTATGTAGAGGTTCGGGTTGGAGCTCGATAACGGGCTCAACTGAACCGGACTAAGAAGGCGAGATGGGAAGGTGTGCTGGTGGAAGTCGAAGGCCTGGTTGATGGTCGGGTTGGAGGAGGACGGGCGGAGGGGGTGTAAGTTCAGGTCGTAACTGGGACGTAGCGAGCGCTGGTTGACAACGGGACACGCGGCGAAGGGCGAGAAGGCGGGCGGTAGGGTCTCTGCCGACATCACTGATGACGGAGACAGTGTCGGATCACAAGACATGTACGGGGAGCGGTTCGGAGAAACATGAAGCGAGCTTGGCTCCCTTTTCACCGACTTCATTGAAGCACTGTGTTGAGTCGATTCCAATTGAACGAGATTTAACGGAGAGAGCGTCTCTCGTTTCGATGGCCGGTTCATATTAGTTTTCGTTCTCGCTACGGTGGAGGAACTGAGCGGAATTATGTCAATTATATCACTCTCACTACCTGTATTCGGCCAATACGTCACCAGTGATTTACCCTGCTTCTGGCGCATAAACGAAGTCGAGCATGAACTACCGCACGACGTCCCCGGAGTTCTGTTCGAGCAGATCTCGTAGCACGACCTCGACAATGGTGCGTCTTTCTTCATCTCTGACCAGGGAATTGCTGACAACGATCGCGAGCTCCCTGTCTCGATGGTTGGAAGACCGAGCCTTGTGCTCGGGGGTTGCTTTTCATCATCTGACAGCGTCATGCTTTTAAAATACCTATTCAAGATATAATTCTCATCTGATGAGTCCGATTCAGATTTGCATTTATATCTCTCGCTTGTATCAGAACCTGAGCTGTTCTCACCGCTGCCGGAATCAATTCGTCGTGATTTCTTCATTCGTCCAAGATCTGGCATTCCAATACCCTGCATTCTATCTCCAACCACCGTACCTACATCCAGATTGACACGGTCAACTACGGGCTCATTGTCAGGAGCAGAGTTGCACACCTGGATATAACGTCGCTCCGATTTTGGCGAAGGGCACTTATACTGTGACTTCTCCAGCGGTGCATTTCCCACGGCGCCTCGCTCTGTCACAACTTGTACGACCACCCTTTCATTTGGTGGTTCCTTCCTTGTTTCCTCCTGACTCCCTTTACGATTCTTAAAGATGATATCATGGAGACTTATCCGTCGCTTCTTCAAATATTTAGCCATCTCCGACATTATGGCAAACTATTCTCCTTACACTTGAAAACGGAAAACAAAATCAGAGTGTAATGACTTACTCGCGTAGAGAAACAACAGGCAAACACACAAGCAGACGTTGTGCTGTCAACAAATCTATTTCAGCAGTAGATTTAAAGTGTGGATAATTATCCTTAATCACTGACTACGTATACAAGACGCTGTTCGCGAGCTTGGATGAAGTTCGCATTATGACTTTGTTGTGGTGAAAAGGAACGAACAAGTGATGCGCGCGTCTTTTATACAATCAGGCGTGATGAGGAGACACTGCACCGGGCGGGAAGACAGCAGGCACTCTGGCAACAACATCCATTATTTTCCTGCGTCACTAGAGATGAGACGTTTCTCCATCGCCCTAATTTTTCGCAATATCCAGTTATTCTTTGAAGTTTAAATGAAAATCTCTTGAGTCTGTGGAGAAGGGGAATGAGATGGGACAGGGGAGAGAAGATAGAACATTATAAAACACTTTCATCAAACGTGCAACCGATCTAATTCATTCATGAAATGAGCATACCTATTTTCTCAAGAGAATATAAAACATTTTTGCCTCATTTAATTATCCAAAGCCGAAGATCCTAATGAGCATCTTTGGTCAAGTATTTTAAGGCTTCATCGAATATATAATTAGTATAGTACAAAATGATCGAAGTAGAGAGAGAGAGAGAGACGGACAGACTGAGGAACAAATACAAAACGACAGACGACATCTGATATAGAAATAGAAATAGAGAGAGAGAGAGAGAGAGAGAGAGAGAGAGATGAGGGGAACACAGGATAAATTGATCAGACAACCAATTATTATTTAACGTCCGGTTGCACCGTTCATACTGCTTGAACAACATTAGCTTTCTTATGATTATATTTGTAAAGAGTTGTGGTAACAGGAATAGAAACATGAAAAGGCTTCTTCTTCATTTATATATTTAGATTATCATTACCTTTCATGTCCGTACGTTTCCTATTATACTTTTGTCTATTTATCATGTATTTCATCTTTTGCACAGGCTGCGCCTTGAGCATTTGATTGTCAAGTGAGTTTGGCGCCATACAAATCTTATTTATTATAATTATTATTAAGAATGCATAAACGTACAAAAGTCTTCTTATTTAATTTTACGAGAGTGCATCGTATGTCATAAAAAGACTAATTTCGTAGCGGAATTAAGAGCTTTAATACGTATTGTGGCGGGGTTATCCAAAGTGACGTACGTAACGTGTGTCCACCCACTATTAATGGCGTAGGCTGGGGGGGGGGGCGGACTGGACTTTTTAAGTGGATGAATACAAATTTATCAGTCCATCTTATGAGGGCAGTCCTTCCTAATCATGGCTTAGGTCAGTTAGGCAGTGGATGAATGATAACTTTCTGAAGTTGATGAAGATAAAACTGATTAAATGTTGATTGGATCTGCCAGGCAGAGTACATTTTCCGCACGAAAAGATCATCATTTGCAATTCAGAAATAAAAATAATGTGTTAATTAGGCTCGTAATCTTGAAGTTTTGTTTGGTGCTGGAATGACCATGAAGTGTCAGATTTCAAATGGTGCTAGTTCAGCATCAGTCCTTATTCACAATATCATTGGAGGATCAGAAAAATATCTGAATCAGAAAGCCACTGAGCAGATTGTTCCATCTTTTATTACATATCGTTTGGATTTGTGTAAAAATCAAATAGCCCGCCTGCTTCGAGTTCAGAAAATAGCAGCTCGGCTCGTCACTCTCCGCAGTAGATCAGACAGTATTTCAGATATATTTAAACCTCTCCATTAGTTATGAGTAAAAAAAAAAAAATAAATAAATAAATAAATAAATCATGTAGAAGCTGTTACTCATTGCTTTTGAAACCGCACTCCCACAACGGAACTTACGTTCAATTAGCATCGTTTAGCCATTCATGAATGAACCTGCATTCAATCAGCAGATTATGTACGAGATTTATTGTATTATTACCAACGCTCCTTCTCTCCCCTTTCCTTTTCTTCTCTGCAAGTCAGTCTTTTCTATTTGTATTTGTTATTGTTGCTGTATTTAAGTTGAGGGCTGCGGGCACGTCAAGCTAATTTGCTTATTTCTGTAGCCCTCCTGCATCTAATGTATGTTAATTATGCATTCAATATATTTGTTTAAATTCGTTTATTATCTGTATAAAATTATATACACTTAAGATATTATATCAAACCATATTATGTTCATGAAAATGTATGATGAAAAAAGATAAAAGATGCAGAAACCAATAATTAAAATCAAATCAAATCAAATCAAATTCACAACTCCAGTTGTGTACACTAAAAAACAATGATATATGGGGAGACAGGGCTTTTGCTAACATTGCACCCAAATTATGGAACACTTTACCATTACAAATAAGACACCATCATCAATTTACATATTCAAGAAGAAACTTAAGCACCATTTGTTTACGTTGTAATATTATGTAATTATGTTGATTTTGTACAGAGCGCTCTGAGCAATCTTTTGAATGGATATGTGCGCTTTTGACATTACTATTATTATTATTATTATAGAGCGGAAGACAATCTAGTCAAATTATGTTCACGTTAATTGCCTCTTGTCCCAATTTCTTGTTATCTCCCTTTCTATTTTCTAATTCTAAATCATTCTTGAATGGGAGGGACACATTGCCACCCCCCCCCTCCCTCGACATTTCTCCCGCGCCCCCTTTATCTCATTTGCTTACCATACAAATGCATTTAAGGCACAACTATTCAATTATGACTGAATTGCCTTAAAACCCATTCAAATAACAAATGCTATTAATGGCGTAGTATTTCTCAACCGAGGTTAATAATTACGTAATTCACAAATCGTCTGTGTACATCAACGTTGTGACGTCAGAGAGGAGACCTTACGTGTTGGATCAAAGCCGAGTTCCCGCGGGAAATCATATCTACTCGCCCTTCATTTCGTAGCGAGCACGTATTCAAGATATGAAGATTTAGCGTTGATGGCATCAACTAAATACAGGTTTTTAGTGTCACTGATTTTTTTTTTTTTGTATTTGTCATTGAAAAAAGCTTTGTGAAACGCCCTACAGATATAGTGAATGAGTCCCAGAGAAAGAGAGAGTGAGAGAGAGAGAGAGGGGGGAAATTGATTGGACCTCTTCCTGTATCTTTTCCCCTAATATAGCCTGCACTGGTATCATTATTATCATATTTCTTGTGATCATTTCCATATAGAAATATGTTTCTATAATGTTAACTAGGTTTAAAAAAAGATTACTGATCAATTTAAAAGTGTATGAACAAAACTGAATATGACATTTAGAAATTGGTGAGAAAATATTTAACTATTTAAATGTTATAACTGAATAGTTACAGAATGTATAACGATTATTCGATATTAGTTGTTTAGTTTAATAATTAGAATCAGTAATTAATATGAAGATTGCTAAAAGTATATTTATATAAATATATTTCTTATACCTTTGTATGTATTTATAATTTGTAAATTGAATTGTATGAGTCTCCGGACTTTTTATTCAGCATGTTTTTATTCACAATAAACCAGAATTGAAGGAAAACAAATCCCCATTCAGTATGAATGATGCCCCAAGGCCCCTTCCCCCTAGTGAATGATGCCCCAAGGCCCCAAGTGAATGATGCCCCCAGGCCCCTTCCCCCTAGTGAATGATGCCCCAAGGCCCCCTAGTGAATGATGCCCCCTCCCCCTAGTGAATGATGCCCCCAAGCCCCTCCCCTAATGAATGTAGCCCCAGGCCCCCTTCCCCCTAGTGAATGATGCCCCAGGCCCCCCTCCTAGTGAATGATGCCTCCAGGCCCCCTCCCCCTAGTGAATGATGCCCCAGGCCCCCGCCCCCTAGTGAATGATGCCCCCAGGACCCCCTAGCGAATGATGTCTCCAGGCCCCCCCTGGTGAATAAACCCACCCTACCCTCTTATGCAGTCATAGATAATCGTTAAACCACAACAATCAATCGATTGATTGATGATTGATTTTTATTCGACAAGATTCCAACATACAACAATCTACAATAATAACAGATACAAATTAAGTCAGCTTGAACAGGATAACCCACGAAAGCTCGAGAGCTTATTTCCAGTGGGGTCCCCTAAAGACATGTACACAATAAAATAAGTTCAAATAGTAATAATTACAGACAGATGGGGGGAATTATTAAAGATAATAATAATAACAACAGTAAACTGATGATAGAAATGAAAATAAGTACAAGAAGAAAAAGAAGAAGGAGAAGAAGAAAAAGAGGAGGAGGAGGAGGACGGGGAGGAGGAGGAGGAGGAGGAGGAGAAGGAGGAGGAGGACGAGGACGAGGAGGAGGAGGAGGAGGACGAGGAGGAGGACGAGGAGGAGGAGGAGGAGGAGGAGGAGGAGGAGGAGGAGGACGAGGAGGAGGAGGAGGAGGAGGAGGAGGAGAAGGAGGAGGACGACGAGGAGGATGAGGAGGAGGAGGAGGGGAGGAGGAGGAAGAGGAGGAGGAGGACGACGAGGACGAGGAGGAGGAGGAGGACGACGAGGACGAGAAGGACGAGGAAGACGAGGAGGACGAGGAGGACGAGGAGGAGAAGGAGGAGGAGGACGACGAGGAGAACGAGGAGGAGGACGAGGAGGGGGAGGAGGAGGAGGAGGAGGAGGACGAGGAGGAGGAGGAGGACGAGGACGAGGACGACGAGGAGGAGGACGAGGACGACGAGGACGACGAGGAGGAGGAGGAGGAGAAGGAAGAAGAGGAGGAAAATAATGATGAATTTGTAGAATATCTATATTAAACGTACAAAAACATAAGTATATACAAAATGAAAAAGTATGAGCTGGCAGAAGAATACAGATTTTAATCATATAACATTTCATTCACTTCTCTTCTCTGACTCTCAAGTATTAGGTATTCCTTTTAAAATGAGCATATAGTTTTCTATATCCTTTATACCATTGGGAAGGGAATTCCAGTGTTTATGGCATTGTAATAAAACGAATTTCCAATACTACCTATCTTTCTGGTAAGTTAAAGTTGAATTGACTATTTCTTGTATTTTAACCATGTTAGTCAGTAACAAGATCGAAGTTGGATCGAATATAATGATTCGACCTATAGTATGATTTATTTTATGCACGTGATGCAATACGAATTGTTTTGATCTTTGGTCGACTTCAAGAAAACCAGCTTTAGAAAGTTCGCTGTAGCCAAGATGAGTTCTTGGACCAGAACAGTTGATAAATCTCACTATTTTGTTCTGTATAATCTTCAACTTCTTTTGATCTGACTTGTTTATGTCACTTTACCATGGAGGGTTAGCATAGTCAAATCAACAAATTTGAATAAGAGCAAAAAAGAGTATACGTCTTGCTTTTAAATCCATACAACTTCGATATCTGTACACAAATTTCAGAGGAGAATTAGCTTTTTTGCAACTGATTCTACTAAAGATAAATATGAAATTGTGCTAGCCAACTCAATACCTAAATACTTCACAGATTCTTTTCTCATTGGTACATGTACGTATACCGTTAGTGATGTTGAAAGCACTTGACAAAAATGTAATTACATGGGAATATGGTCATCTTGGGAACATCTGGATGGAAATGACACAATTAGACTTTACTATTTAAAAAAAAAAAATTTGTTTTGTAAAATATAATTCTGTAATTCTTTTCATAAGTATCTTTTCCTCCTATATACCCTCTCTCTTTCTCTCTCTCTCTCTCTCTCTCTCTCGCTCTTCCTCTATCTCTCTCCATCCCCCTCTCTCTCTCTCTCTCTGCTTCTTACGTCATTCCTATACCCTATATTTTCACGAATTCTAGTTTTCATTAAAATCCTATACATACTGTATAATTGCCACATTTTATGAACTAACTTATTATTGATACTATTGTATAATAAGTCAATTTATATGCATTGACTTATTACTTATAGATTTTATGCCTTATCTGTAAAATAATGTTAATGAATGTACATACATAAATGTTCAGTTTAGCTCAGTTACAAGTTCGTGTATCTATTTTTTCCTCTAAAGTATACCAACAGTGTACGTGGGAGATATGTATTTCACATTAACATTTATAAATATAGAGCTGATCATATTATTAGCCTATATTATATTGCAAGAAAATGAAATATAAGAACGTAATGGGAAGCCTGAGCTTGCCTTATGGAATAAATTGACTTTGTTTAACCGTGATTTGAAATTAAAGTAAAAGGGATCGTTTTCAGTTTCAATTTACGAAGAGTAACAAATCAGACATGACGGCAGACCTGCCAACCCTGGAGTTCAAAAACTGTATTTTTTTTTAATCCCAAAAGTTGTATTTTACTGACCAAAGTTGTATTCTTAAAACAAAAAAGAACTGAATTTATGAGTAAAAGGACCAAAATATATTACCTATTCTTTGTTTGAGGGCTTTGTTTTTTCCTTGTCAGGGGATTTATTATTTCTCAGTAAAAAGGGTTCCAAGAAATTAATCAACCCTTCATATAACTTCTTTTTTTTTGGTCACAGAATGATGTCACAGTTTCTTTAATTTTACGTTGCCCCACCCCCTCGTTCAGATAATCCCATATCCATCAGCCAAGTATAATGAACCTTTCAATTATACGACTGCATGAGCAGGTGGCTTTGGGTGGAGAAA